GAAGAACCAGATTTGTTAGACCATTGTCTAACAAATCTGGTTTACGTTTTTCAAAAACTAAAACAGAATTTATTATATTCACCAATAAGCACAAAAACCTCAACAATATGAACTTAAAGTTAAATGGAGAAAATATAAAAGAAGTTAATCAATTGCGAATATTAGGTTTAATATTCGATAAAAAGATGTCTTGGAAAATTCATATTAATAAATTAAAATCAGAATGCCAACAAAGATTAAATATACTAAAAATATTATCATCATCAACATGGGGATCTGACCGAAAATGTTTAATGAATACATATTATGCCCTTATTAGACAAAAACTTGACTATGGTGCTGTCATATACGATTCAGCAAAATCACGAATATTAAATTCTTTGGAAAGTGTTCACAATACTTCTCTCCGTCTTAGTATTGGTGCATTTAAAACTAGTCCCATTAAGAGTATTTAAGCTGAAGCTGGAGAAATGCCATTGCAATTCCGAAGAAAGGAACTTCTACTCACTTACGTTATAAATATACTATCTCGGCCCAATATCCCAACATTCGACTACTATACAATAAAAACGTTTACGGATGCACGATACCTACTTCAACCTCATTTACCACAACCTTTAAGAATCAGAGCATCTAAATATTTAAAGGAATTAAAGCTCAATATCCCACGTGTTTTTACAAAAAAAATACAGTGTTACGGTCCTTGGGAATTTTTAAAACTACCTCTTAATCTTGACTTGGCCAAATATCCTAAATATAGTACTCCACCGATGGTTTTTAAAAGAATATTCCAAGAGTTAAAATGCAAGCATCAAAATTGTGAATTTTTGTTTACTGATGGTTCTGTAATGAATGGAAGATCGGGATGTGCAGTTGTTCACGGTAACAGCTCCTACCGTTACAGACTTTTAGATTTCCATACAATTTTAAGTTGTGAAGCAATAGCTATATTAAAAGCTTTAGAAATAATATATAACGAAGCTAATTTAGATAAATATTATATAATTTTTACTGATTCAAAGTCATGTGTTACAGCCTTACAAAATCCTAAAAATATAGAACCTCTTTTTATAGAAATTAAACATAAAATGTATGAAATGTGTCAAAATAATATAAAATTTGAAATAGTATGGATCCCCAGTCATCACGGTATAACTGGCAATGAAAAAGCAGACAAGGAAGCCAAAGAAGCTATATCTGTTAACGAATTCGATGGATCTAAAGCAAATAAAACAGATTTACGAAAATTTTTCAAGTTTAAAATAAAACAAAGCTGGAATATAAGCTGGAAAACAGATAATACATTGAAACTCTTCGGTATCCGAAATACTATCTTTGATAAATCCCCTGCTTCATTCACTTGTAGAAAAGACAAAGTTGTTATCACAAGATTACGTATTGGTCATACAAATATGACTCATATTCATTTAATTACAAAAAATAATAGAACTAAATGTAAATGTGGCTTAAACTTAACAGTGCTTCATCTTTTCGGAAGTTGTACCGTTTATAATAATGAAAAACAAATTTGTGATGTACCCACTAATTTAAAAGATTGTCTTAATAGTATAAATGGATGTAAATGTACTTTAAAGTTTCTAAAAATGATAAAATTGTATAAATTAATTTAAACTGTATAACTGTGGTCGTTAATGACCTTGTTGTTAAAAAGCGACCTTAAATAAATAAAAATAAAAAAAAAATTCGTATGATAGTAGGAAAACTTAAAATTAAAGGAAGACATAAAATAAATGTAGCTCCTATAAGACAAATAATCGCTTTTAGTGTGTTATAAATAACTCTAATTTTAATTTATATGTACCTAATATACTCATAATATGACGTAACTAGATCAAATCATTGTTAAAATTAATATCAAAACTTCTTTGCAGGACTTAAATTCTAAATGGAGATTTTCATACTAGCTACTTTTACGGCTTAGCCGCTTTAACTATTAGTAGGTTAGGAAGGGCTACTTCGTTTTTGTGTAATATTCTGGTTAAGATCAACTTGAAGAACGTGTCTATCCTAAGAAGCTCGAAACTCTATGGAAATCGCAGTTCCAGACTTACCAGTCATATTATTTTAGGAGACATTTTACCAATTCTGGATATGAAGAGAAAAAATCTTTCTAGGCAGTAGGCCGCCCTGTCCCTAACGACCTTTATATTCTGTCAAAAAGCGAGGGAACTGAATTATAGACATTTCACTCTATTTGGCTACGGAATGGGAAGGTCTTATGATCTTATTTGATTCAAAGGAGTATTAAAACGGCTTTTTGTAGTGAAAGCGATTGCGATGTTTTTTTTAAGGGTTTAACTCTGTCCTTCGTCTGTGAAACCAATTGCCTAAGGTAATCGCCGCTTCTTAAAGCAAGTAATAATAAAATCCGGAGACGATTAGACGTATATACTGCGGTGCTCTCCGCCAAAAGGATTAGGTGGATGTTTATTTTAGGTATCGAGGTAACGCTCGTGCGACCTTTCTAGTGCGGAAAGAGGACAGACTCCAAATTTGCTAGCACTAAAAGCGATTCGACTAGTAAATTCATAAGATATGATTGGGCCAGTGTGACACCTTAAGTTTAAGCAGCTTATAAATCAAGTCGTTGCACCATTCGTCGTCGCACGTTTTCGCGACAGCGTAGTAGATTGCGTTGGTCATATTAGGGCGTATTCCTCATAGCCCCATGACAATGTGCGTGATTTTTTTGTCTTCCCGATTGCTGTCTTAGGCTTTTGACAGAATTATGAATGCCATTTACGATATTCTTTATCCATTGGTTAACAGAGCCCAGTTTGCCATTCCATTCGTGAGCAATATCTGTCATTTCCAACAGTCACATTTCTTTAATTGTTTCAAAGCTGCAATTTTATTTGAGTTTCGTATTTGTGTAAATAAGTGACCGGGTCACAGGTTTCATGGCTTGGACTGCACTGGCTTTCTCATTTCAGCGCCAGGCTTTCGGTTTTTTCTCGGTCATCGAAGGCATATTCAGCCACGATTTAAGATAAATTCTGTATTTTTATATTTTATACTACTATTCAAAATAGATCTTGATAAACGAAAATAAATTGTAAGACATGAGAACTGAAAACTTTAGCTTTTATGTATACAAAATTTAAAAAATTCAGTTGTAGCTTATTAGATTTAATCAAATTATATTTACTATTTATAAATTTAGATTATTTTGACTAATTTGTGCTAAAGACTCATGACCTCTGTTGTCATTTTATAATCCCGTAACGATATCTTGATTGGATCTTAATTGAACGAAGAGTAGAGTAATTGTTTAGTAGATTCATTAAATAATTTTAAATTACATAATTCATAATTTATTACAGGGGTATTGGCATCTAAAAGGGAAAAGTGATTTTATCTATTTATGACCTCTAAACTATAAATTTTTCTTTACCATTTTCAAATATTATTTGAATATTTAAAACCATTGAAATTTAACTCCTCACCCTAAACAAGTCAGAAGAGATAAGTTTTTTAGAGCAGTTAGAAAGAGATAATATTCATATAACAAAATATGCAAATAATTTATATTAAACACACAGTAAACTAAATTAGGTAAAAAAATCTTGGATATTGCCAATAATTCCATAATAAATTAGATAATTTGTACATGTAGAGGTATTTGTATAGTCACTAAAAATATTAAATATGTAGGATATTATGTATAATATTCCAAATACAACTTTCTCTATAATATAGAAATATTACAACTTATACTAACAGTGTATATTTGATTGTGATACAGAAAACAAGCAACGTATGCCTAATTTTGAATTAATATGTACCTAAAATATGCGAAATAAAGAGCTAACACGTAGTGTAAGGCATAAATACGACATTAAAGTAGTCACCAAGGGGCAGCTAGGACACTTGGCTATATAAAAGTAACAGGCGCCTAAACTGCCACGATGAGATTACTGACAGAATAAAATTTAACAAATGATTATTTGTGTATTAAAGCTTTTTTATACTTTGAGTGAATTATATAATTTTGTTCCTTTTCCGTGACAGTAGCTCTAGAAAATTTCTCTAAAGTATTCATTAAATATAGGTACCATTAGTAATTTGTAATTCGCGTTGAATTATAAACATTCTTGAAGTTTCCTAATTGGTTACGTGTCAGAACATTTGAACTAAATACTTCATGTTTTGACTAATTTGCACTATGTTTAACTTTAAATCGTTTTCGTTTCGGATAAACATTTTCAGTAGCTCAATGAAGATGCTTGGAGTGGCTTAATAAGATGCAAATCATCAAACATAGCATTGGTTAAAATTCAATTAAAAGATTCATGATTAATTTAAATATCACGTATTGTAAAGCATATTAACAAGTTTTTTCCAATTAAAAGTAAACTAGAACGAAAATTAAATGGATGTATCAAAAGCGAAAAAAACGTATAAGGGAATGCATATTTTTGTACTTTACATCAAAAATGGAATGCAGTCTCGTTTCCTCATGGCTGAACACTAGAGAACTCAGAACAAGTAATAAATTCCAATTTCTGCTATGCCAGGACATCCAAAACTTTCCTGTCGCCTCTATTAATAACTTTTTAAATTATGTCAGTTCTAATTTCTGCTTCTACATAACATTTTATAAGGTGCATTCGAAGTACATAGATACAATAGTTAGTTTTCCACTGAATTCTTTCCATTGAAAGTATATTGTGATTGTTCAACATGGTGTGCATATTTTATGTCGTAATTTAAATATTTAATCTGAAGTACATACGTGAAATAAAATTAAATCTAATATTTTTCTGCCTGATGGTTCAAGTTCAGGTAACAGAAGTGTTTATCATTATAAAAAAATATAGTTTAATATTATATGAATTGCGTATCTTTAAAGCATCCCAGGTGAAAAATCACTGTCACCTAAATTGAGAAAATATCATGTAACTATTATTTCATGGACATTGATGCTAATATTTGAACACTGTGCTTTGATATGTAAATTTTATAATTATTTGTTGCAGTACATTGGAACTATGGACGTGCCGCGGCCGACGAGCCGAGTTGAAATAGTTGCTGCTATGCGTCGCGTTCGCGTAAGTTTAGTTTATGCCTATAATTTTAAAAGTTTTTTCAGTCTCATAAATGTAATTTTAGTTTTGTAGTACCTTTTCTATTTTCTATATATTTGATACTTATTAAAATTTTGGCATATGGAAAACAAAGCGTGACATACCTCAATCTAAAATTATAAGAAGTAGAAGTTATTCAAAATGTATAATTGAGACACTATTTAATATTTTCTGCTATCTGTACTTTGCCTGTTTATATATTTTTTATTTACTCCATCTTTTCAATTCTCTTCATTATAAGATCTTAAGACGTTTTCGTAAGTTGTTTGAATTCCAGAATTTCTCTATTCCTGTAAAGGACTCATCGGTATTGTATTTAATTTAATTGTTATCGCACAAACGAGATCTAAGATAGGAAAAGGGAATGATAGAGTGAAATGGAGTGTCTCTCGACAGCACCAACTCCTCTCTAGGTATTCCTTCTATTATCGCACCGCACGAAACGCATCTAGAAATAGACCACTCACGCTAATTTCCGTGAAAGCCTGTCTATTCCAATATAGGAAAGCTATTTGATATTTAGCTTGAAATTCGAACAACCTTTGATTTCAATGTGCTTTTATTGAGTCTATAATATACAATTTCGAATATTAATAAGGTTTAAATAAAAAAAGTATCCACATTTTACTTTTTTGTTGGTCCATAGCTTGACAAATACTAATTTCCAATAAAAAGTATATGATACAGTCTTTAGAGTAATTGTACATCAGAGTAGCACTTCAATTTCTTTACAATTTTCCGTAACGTCAACTGTGGCCTTCCAGATTGTAATCCGATAAGAATTTTAGAAATCACATTATAAATGATGTTTCTTGTGAAATCTTTCGGTTTATACGTATCTGTGATGAGTACATGTTGTTATGAAATTTGTAAGTGAGAAGCTCTGGGTAACGCCGGTAAGAGTAGACCTCTAGACTTCAGTATGAACCCAAATTAGATTTTCTCTTTATAAAGTTTCTTTAGTGTGATATTTCTATTATACTTGTTACGAGTAATATCATATATTTGCATATATCTAAATATTCAACTTCAATGGAATATTTATGTATTCACTTTTACATTAATTTTCTTCATTCAATTCTATAAAATTTTAAGCTATAAAACAAATAAGTTTTCAAATGCTTGACATTTATCTGGTAAATAAAATATCTACGTTTATTAAATTTCCCTTAGACCTTTCACGAAAAATTTTAATCTTATTTTCATTAATTAAAGAGAAGTATACGGAGTGTCTCTACAAAAGATGAAATAAATATTTGCTGTGCCATAAAATAATTATATTTTCAAATAACATTTATACCTTTGACGATGCATCATACTTGCAAACCTATTTCACTTTAATAAGTTTCATGCAACTTATGGTATGAAACACATATACTATGAGCCAAAACTTTATTTCAATAATATGAAAGATATTTCTGAATAATAGAAAATGATAGATATATATATAGTTGGTTATGACCTTATAGAAACTTGTTATAAATGAAGCAACCTTATGAATATTGTAAATATAATAAGACGATATCTTGTGTTTGAGATTCATGTTATAATTTATTACTAATTTAAAGTGTTAAAAATTTGTTCTAAATTTTCAATCAATAACAATCATTTTGCTTTCAAATCCTAAGTGCAAAGTTGTCTATACTATTGATTATAATAAAGTATACATAGGTAGGTGTTACTTAATATTGTCCCGAATACTATGGTAGTTTGGTATTTCATTTCAACTATATAAATTAATAATAATTAAAACACTCTTAAAAAATAGATAAGAACAAACTCAAAGATTTATAAATACATCATAAGATTATATATTGCTGTAACAATTCTACTACCTACTCAATCTTTTATGATATAACAATTTTCAGAATGTTAATTATTTATTACATTTCAGTACGAGTTCAAGGCGCGGGGTGTGAAGAAACGTAAAGTTACTGTTGACGTGTCAATAGATGGCGTCCGCATCACCACGACCAACGTTAAGCCTAAGGTATACAACATCAAATAATAACAGTTATACACAGAAGCGAATAAAACCTTCCTTGTATACCTGTGAGTATTACCGTGTATTTGTACACAGTCATATCTATAACACGTATACGTACATGTGTCATAAAGTGTATACACGTGTAAGACACTTACAATTGAATGGTATCCTGGTGATATCTGCCTTTGAAGGGTTTCTTTATTGAGAGCATATCATTTCAAAGAGCGTCAGAGAAAATTCTCACGATTTCTCAGACAAGTAAAATATACACGAAAAATTACAACTCTTAAGAATATTTTATAAAACAAAATCAATATTTTGTCATCCTAATTTAACAAGGTTAAAATTTAGCTTTTCAAATGGCACATGATTAAATAATAGTGAATATGTAAACAGTACTATGAAAAAAAAACCAAAATACAAGTGACTTCATTTTGCTACATTCCAAGAAAATGTTAGGTCAGATATTTAAATGAAACAAAAAAAACATTTTGATAAACGTCGAGTTTTATTTTATGCTAAGTGAAGGATTTAAATGTAATATGAAAATAAATATGAAAACACCTTAAGTAATATAAAAAATGTGGCAATAAATTTTAAATTGATATCTAAAGGATTCATAAAAAACTGACATCAGAAATTCAGATAGATTTACTTATTACAAACTAAAGTAAAAAAGTAAAATAACATTTTATAGAGAGTGGAAGTCTTTTAAAAACTAGAAACTATCCTTTAAAGTTTAAAATTCGCGATGGAATGTAAGTCTTTTGAAACTGCATACTACATATAAACGAAGCTTTAAAATTGATTATATTAAATTGATGAAGTCAATGGGTACGTATTAGTTGATGTAATATTAAAAAATCAACCACGTAGGAAAGGGGTGGCTTAAATCAATAAAAAAATTTAAAGGTTCCACATAACTAAAAAAAAGGGAATAACTCATTAACTATTTGAAACGAACTCTACTATATTATTAAATTCTTTAGAATATTTTTTATAATGACAGAGGGCAAGGAGCCGTGAGTAATATTATAAAAAATAATTTTGCTTACATCCTTTGAGACTGTGCGGCCATATTATTAGAGTACTTTCCTTGTTATCGGTTAGAGAGATAATAATAGAAAGAAGTTATTCTGATATAATTTGGAAACAATAATTGTTTTGAAATACATAATAAACTGTTCTGAGGCTAAATTTAACTTATCTATAAACAGATAATGGTTCAGTAAGTTTTCCGCTTCTTATTTGTTACTCATTTTGTAAATAAATAGAAGTAAATATTTATAATTTTTTTATTGACATACCGTGTTACCGTGAAAAGAATTTTATAGACATATTCTTACATTGCTACACATAGACTGTGTTTATATTAAAGATGCTCTTCTTTCTTTGTTTATAACATGTATTTTTCACAAAAATTTAAGACACGCGTTTATTTGGGTCGGTTTTTCATCGTAATATAATATGTTGTTTATATTTAAAACAAAAAAAATGATGTAGAATATTTATTTACTTAGATTAATAAAATAATTTGGAGTGAATTAATATTTAAAGTTAACTTTCTCCGTAGATATTCAAACATAAAAGACTGTACATTTTTTAAATCAGTCAGGTGTTATTGCTACAAAAAAATTAAACCAAAATTTTAAATAGTAGTAAATGTTAAAACTATTAAGTAATAATTATAAAACAAACAGGAACTATCGTAACGATTGCAAAAGGAGATTTTTCATTGTTCTAATATTTCATTTGTCATATTTCCGCTATGTTCACTGGCAATACAAACACAAGTCTTAGTTAAACTTTTGTAAAAGTTATTCTACAAGATCTTGTTTGGAAACGAAGCACGTTCTTACCATTATTTGACGCCCTTGAAAGAAAAGAAAACCAAATGATACCCGAGACAATGCTACATACTTGAACATACACATTTGATTGGAATTACTATGTAATCTTAAAATTTGTATGTAGTAAAATAATTTTTCACACGCCTTACATACTTAATTTAAAAGTCATATCGATTTTTTTGCATGAACTACCGCACTGAATAGAACAAATAGTACAAATACCGCACTGAATAGTACAAATCATAGCTTGACAGAAAATGCGAAACGAAGGATAAGACATACTTGAGAAATAACTAAACTAGAAATTTTAAAATAAATATCTCACATTTTATTTTTATTTGTTTATACTTATTTTGGTTGCAAAAACTTATTTAAATGATAGTGATGCCTTAAATTGTAGTTGTTTAATGCTAACTAATTATTAATACTATTAGTCTCCTATCTCATTAAAAGAAAACTGTGATTTCCCATTTTGTTTACATGTAATCAAGTAATATTTACAAAACAAAAAAAATAATAATATAGCAATATTTACTTTAAAACTAGATACTGATAAGAATAATTGTTTCAGAGACCGCGATTCTTTTCTCGCAAGAAGAAGAAGGCACCGGAACGCATAGAGATAATGCATCACCCGATCTACCGTATCTTCTACGTTTCGCACGATAGTTCTGATCTTAAGATATTTTCGTACATCGCAAGAGATGGCGCCACTAACGTTTTTAAATGTAACGTTTTCAAGAGCAGCAAAAAGGTGAGGTTTTAAAATCTATTAGTAAAAGCATGAAATGTCAAAACATATACATTAGCAGAACACGAATATCGTGTGAATTTTTTTTAATATCACATATGAACGTAGTTGAAATACGACTAAGTTCCCGACGTTTCATACATTACAAGTATAATATGTAAAAATAAAAAATAAACTTTTTATTTGACTTTTTCTTCATATTATATTATTTATAGTATTTCAATGTTAAAATGTCAATTTCTGGTTCTAGCATGTATAGGAGGTGTGGCGAAGTAGGTTAATAATATTCATGATTAAAACATAAACGAAAAACCATTGTTTTATGGGGGGATTTTGTCGACTTCGATAGAATTCATGTTAAAGAAAATTAATCAGGATGCTTTAAGTGACTTTTAAAGTATGATTGAAACAAAAGAAAGGTTTTTCAAACGTTTCCTCGAACTTTTTTAATTCAGGATTTCAATAATAATTTAATTAAGTATAGAACTTTTAGTATAGATTACTTACTTTTTTATAGAATTAATAAATTCAATAAAAAAGTAAGGAAAATTCCCTTGTACCACAAAAATCCTTGGATTTGAATATATTACAGAAATGTTTACAAATTTATATTGATCTAATATTTAATAATCAAAAAAATATATGTAATGTAAATGTATCCATAATTTCACAAGCGTAATCGATGCTATAATTATATAAATAATATTCTACCGCGAATGCCTGCAATCGTATCCAGGTGATCACACGACACAAGTCATAATTCATAGACAAAAATAAACTGGTTTAAAATAGATGACTGAAATCGCGGTAAAAAGCGCAAACGTACGTTGACGCGAGCATACGCTAGGAGGAGATAATAAACTCGGATCAAAGCGTTGATGCTTGATATAAATTGGTCATTCTAAATACCAACTACGACTCCGATATGATTCGTTTTATTGATCGTAAATTACTAACTTTCAGAATACGGTTAATGTGATCGTAATAAGTATTGTTTTGGTTACGATGGCTTTAATATGAGGTATCTTAATATAGCAACAATGGTAGCTAAATGTAGATTCTTTATATAGCTTCTAAGAGCAGATAACCAAGTTTTGATACTAAGTTTTGAATGTCCTGAATGTTTCTATTGTATCTAGAAGGTCAAGTTCTGTTCCATATTGAAACGTATTTTTTTGTTGTTGTTTGTTTTCGATAATAACATTGATAAGTTTTATATTTGTGTTGTTTGACATATAAACTTTATTTAATCAGGAGCGTTACGTAAACTGAAGAAAATATAAAGTTTCTGCATTAAGCGCAAAACGTTTTAACAATAGTTATGTCAAATTCTGAATCACTGTAAATAATGCAATATCTAATAGCATCTGGCGGCGTTTGTTTACAGTTTTGTTCTAAATCTGTCAGCTTGTAGTCGCTGGGTGCTGTCAAATCGGTCTTTTGGATTGTATGGTTGAACATCGGGTGGTTATAGTATTGTTTAGTTGGCCACTACTAGGTTTAAATACAGTATAAATCTTCTATTTTGTTAGTAACTCGACTTTTATAATCAATTAGGATTACGATCACTCGTAACTAAAACACATAAATATATAATAACAACTCTGCCTGTATCGACTACTAAGAGGATGTATCTTTATTGGTTGAATTTGTGGTTGATCAATATTAAGACATACGAGAAAATGATTCTAAATGGCCCGATTCTTACTTCTCTTCTTATTTCTCGTTTTCATTCCTATAGATTCGATATGTTAAATGAGTAGACGATATCAATGGTATGAAAAATTTGTAACTTCAACTTTATTCACACCAGTTTGACCTCATAAGACGAACTCGCTATAGTTTGTATTTAGACAGTTGGATGAACAAATCTGTCAGAAGGAACAGACAACTTTAATAATATTATTAAATTCTCTAGTTCTATACTCCAAAGTTGTTTAAAATACTTAGAATTGATAACGGTTATTCCCTCGTGTTAGAGATATATTATTTCTACATGATTTTTCTTTCATTTAAAAACGCAACATAAAGTGTTATATTTAACTTATAAAGTATCCCGTATTCTGCTTTACAAGTGCAATCATTTGTACGTTTTGGTTCCAGATGTATGAAGATAAATTCATTAATATAAAAAAGGTGGCTATACAAACATTATCACTGCCAGCTAAAACTGATCATTGTTTAATTTGATAGCTCAATTCGAACTTTTTGCAGTTGACGATATGTTTTTAATTTTATTTACGATAATTGCACACAAAATCATTTAACGCAAATGCCAATTCATTTTGTAATCGCGGCATTAATTTAGTTAGAGTTTAATTTGTCACTTAGTACGTTCTGGAAGATTCATTTGATCATAAAAATCCCTCCTTCACGGGGTCAGTCTTCATGCATTTGACTCCTTTTTCTCTCACATCGTAAAGGTTTACGATTTATTTAAAAATGCATATGTGATGAACAATTTGTTTCATATAATAAACACATTCGTGAATTATTCAGTCACTAATTGATAATATAGAACTATTCCCGTATTCAGTGTACGCTCCGAATACTGGTGAGTTGGTGGGAATACGAGATTGTGTTTATTTGCGGTCGTTGTAGCGACGCGCGACGCACGCGCTGACCATGCCGTGGCCACTTCAGTTGATCCGTGGATTGTTCGCGCGGAAGAGCGAGTTAAACATATACAGACTTGGGTGACGTACGTTTTACCAATGATAAATTAATCGAATGCGATTAAGATGTCAAATAAGGAACGCGATAAACATAGGCGGCATGATATCAAGAGTCTGCCGACAGAAGTTTTGCTAAAAGCTCGAAGCACGCTGGTATCTCTTGGAGGTGCTTTAAAATCTAAACACAACTCACCGCATTCGAAACAGAAGCAAGTTTCTAAAGAAAAGTTAAATCATGAAAGATTAAAGAGCTGCAGATCTGAACCGGAGTTTAGCGAAATGCGTAAACCTAAACACAGAAGCCGGATTGATGAACCACCACGCGAATATGATAGCAGACTTGGCCTACGATCTAGACCACTGTCTATGGGTGCTATGAAACGCTATGAAAATGACTTAGATTTTCACAGTGGAAATTTCCCAAAAGATTTAACACAATTTGAATCTATTGACGATATATCTCGTCCCATGATTCCAAGTATGGAAAGGCTCAACCAGGAGATTAATATGCAAGAAATGTCTGAACGGCCGCGAAAAAAATTATCCTTTCGTGAACCTGAAATAGTTGGTAGCGCTACTTTAGGGCGTTCTAGTAAACTTATGGCTGTGAATAACCTCTCTAGAAGACCGAATAGATTATCACTGAGAACGGATGCGCATTCAAGTTTAGATGGATTGGACTTCGATTTAGAGGTACGATAACTTAAACTTATCATTGAATTTTAATGTTTTTATTAAATAGCAGACAAATAAAAATAAATAGGATCGTTCTATTTTAATATGATGATTGAGGACCAACGAAACAATTCATGACTATATTTTTCATATTCTTTTGCCTTGTTACCTGTCAGGCTGTCTGTCATGAGATGATTTCTTTTAGAAACAAACTGAAATTTATATGATATACCTAAACAAGCTGAAAATTATTACCATGTCTTTTATTTTTAAATCTATACTAAAATACACAATCTATATAAAACACAAGGTACTTTAGTCATTTAAAAAAAACTGGCAATATAAACTTATGGTTTGAAAAAAAATCAGCTCTTTTTAAAATTGTATATTGTTAAAATGAAATAGGTAATTTATTGCTACTTAATAATGAGTCCATCAGGTTCTGTTACACTCTTTACCTTAAACAACATATATTAAATATAATTTATATACTAATGATATTAATAGTAAGCTTTGTGATGAATAAATATGTGAGGGATATTACTTCCTTCAGATAATTTGATGTCTTTAATTAATTACTATATATAGGATTAATTAAAGCAGTCTGATGAAAATTTTATTTATTGAATTATGTTGCATTAATTTCAATTTTCACCCTAGTAAAACATTTAGGAAAATTGTGATGTCATTATCGGTAAAATATTTTATTACTGAAAGCTTACTAAATAAGACCTTTCCAAGAAAGGAGAAGAGTAATTTGCTATAGTAATTTAATTGTCATTTATGAATACTTGAATACTAGACAACTTTATACATAATTAGATTAATTTGTCTTTAGATGCAAAGGTATTTATTATTATTGAATGCGTTTATTCATCAGGAAATTCGATTCCACTCCTGAAATAGTTTAGAATGTTCTAGATCTGATCTTTCAATGTTAGTTAGTTTAGATGCTTCGATATCGATTAAAATCTAACAAACGACAATATATATAGTCACTATAACTCGACCGCAACAGGTTATTACGAGTATTATTTTGTTTTAATTGTATTATTCAGTTTAATTTTAAAGCACGAGTGGTAAGTAGTTTACGTACTTTCTATAGACATATTTTTTTTATAAAATAGTACAATTAGGACAGAGGAAGTAGTCGTAAAAAACAATCAATTATAATTTATATGATTTTCTTATTAACAAAAAATAAAATTAATTTTAAACGTAAAGAAGCATTATTACGAAAATATTTACAAAATATTTTTTTAAAAACCACGCTTTGTACGAATATGAACACAATTTATTTACTGTTGCTACTGTTGCTTGTAAAATTAAAAGATACTAACTTAACATGCTGTCATGCTAGTGTCAGAATATAAGAGAGGAATTTAGTTGAAGAACTAGTAGTTCTTATATCATGAAATGCAAGTTGAATTCCGTCTCGTTAACCTGCTAGTGGGCCACGCCGGTTGACCTACCCTTATATAAGCTGTTCCTCATCACTGGATCAAAATTCTTCTCCTCAGATGTGCTATTTATTCCAAAAATTCGTGTATCTGAAATTGAGTACCCAGAAATAATAACATTTACTTTTGGTAATGTTTAACATTATTTGAATAATTTAAAATAATTTATTACACTCTGTCTTATAAATTGGACCTAGTTCTGATATCGTAAAAAAGTTAAAGAGCTATTTGTAGAAAATCAATCCGCAAGTTAATGATTAAAGTCCAAATGTTTTTTGTTTACATTCACTCCGTTCTATACAATCATTTCTAGAAAAGTCGTTGATGTGGAATAATTACATCAACAATTTTACCCTGATAGGTTTCAAAGGTTTAATATCTCATTTAACGGAATAAAATTATTATTGAATGGCTGTGGAATTTTGTTCAATAGTTTGTCTTTTAAATAAAAATGTTATAATACAAGGCGTATATAAAGATTGTATTGTTAAGTAGGCGTTTTTATTGGTTTGTATAAATAAGACACTTCCATGTTGTCTGCCCATGATCACGTTTGCTCTAAAAGAAAAAAACGATAGAATTATGCAGTATGAGCTAATAAAAAACGCATAGTTTTCGGAAAACTAAGTTTAATTTAACAAAATATGCATGTAGGAAAAAAAATTGTACATTCGAAAATCTTAGATGTCATTATGATATGGTTAATTCAACAAATTACTTTAATATTCAGTCTATTTAAATTATATAAGTACATATACATATCTCTTTTCAATATTTTATAACACACAGAAGAATCGTACTTTATTCTTTATAAACTACATTTCACATTTATATTTGATGCAGTATATAATTTACAACACAGTGATTTATATTACTTAAAGTTACTTACTTAATCGTCATTGACGCAACAATATGTTACGATTCAATACATAAAAATCTATAATTCTTCATCTATTTTAATCTACGGAAGCATTTTATAAATTACAGCGACATTTTGTATAAATCGGGTCTCAGTCAAGGACGATACGTCCGTCGTCAAAACCATTTGTTATTTAGAATTTACTCTGCTTGTTTTCACGGGTATTTCGGTGCCAATGTGTGAATTACGTCTTGAGATTTGCTATCATTAATTCGTAGTATTTACGCTTTCAGTTTGCGTAAGTGGTAGTATAACGATACAATGTTTGAATGTTACACTACTTAATTTAAAAAGAAAACATGACTTTACTTTTCTTCTACATTGGATTGTAAAACAAAAATTGTTCTTATAGACTAAAGTTCAGTACTCATTGATAAACGGTTTTAGTGTAAAATAAAAAATTGATACTGCTGTGTAAATTTTAATATGTTATAATGATTAAATCCCAGCTTAGAATTTCATTTTAGCAAAAAAATTAGAAACTTGAGATAGTATTCATTTACATGTTAAGCAGTTAATCAAAATTCTTTATGAGAGAAGTTTTTTAAATCAGAGATTATAAAAATTCTGAAGACGTAAATCAATATCTTATGAATTTATAATGAGAAGTTTCATCTAAAACTTAATAAAAGAAAATCTGTAAGAAAAGTTTGAATACAACATTTTTTTTCATACCTGCCCAAAGAATAAATCGTGTCTTTATTGTGAAAGACAAAAAAAGTAGCTTAATTTCCTTTTGAATGTAAATTGAAGAGCAGACATATTTTTTTGTTTTTATTTTGCTCCTTATGTTCATCTAATGCTGACATCATAAAATATTTTCCTTAAAATTTATTTCGTCCAACTCCACATTATTATTTTATTATATTATTATTTCACATTATTATTTACAAAATATACGGACTAAGTGTAAATACTCTCTAATTACAAATTTACTAACTAATCATTGACATCTATCTACATATCTACATATTTTATTTACTTTATTTAAAATAAGTTTGCCTAATATTAAAGAATACTGAATTCAATATACAAAACCAATGTAACCAACTTTTCTCATTATATGTATGAACTTTATTTTGTTTAGGTTTTTACTTTTGTTTCAGTCTGTGTATAAATTTTGCTCCTCCTTTTTGTTATGTAATAGCTGCATAAAACACTAAGTCATCCCGAGCTAAATACTTCTTTTTATTTAAAATACAATAACGTAAAAATAATATACTTGGAAATATGAGGCAATCATAATTAGTTGAGAAACAATTATTGTAGAATAAAATAACAAATATAATATTATATCACCGGTCAATGTCTTCACCATTTACAGTTCACAGTAGGTATACTGTGAACCTATACCTGGTAAGGTATGATATGTAATACATAGAAAAATTGCTTTTACAAACAATAACAAATAATATGAGGTGAAATTTAATATATTCTTGGCTACAATATCCTCTAATGCTTTGTAAAGACATAATCCAGAGTGCACAGCTCGTTGAAACGTGCGTTTTATCTGATCCTTTACGTGCAAATGCTTTTAAGCTGCTTGTAACCCCAAACGCGAATATTTCGCTGCGACCCTTCAATATATTTTCAAAGTATGATGTAAACTGGTATATGATAATTTACTATAAATATGCCTCTGCTTTCGTTTCTTTCACTTATTTGATCGTAAAAGTAATTAAAGATAACATTCATTTGTAATGTATCATCGGATCAAATATTCTTTACATCTATTTCACACCTTCATTATTTCAGTTTGGTAGCACAAAACACTGTTTGTAAACTTAAATATAATTGCTACATAAAATCCGCTCCAACCAAATTAATGAATGAAATGAGATTGCGAATAATTAAACTGCATGCAGTAATCTGATTGAAACACGTGCAGCTCTGTGTTGATTAAAACGTGATTTGATATTGATATTATTGAAAACGGAACTTAAGAGATATTAATGTAGCAAAATTATTTTAGAAGACTTGCATTTGATCACCGTGATGTTAATAACACTGTAACACAAATGTAGCCATGCCTAAACAAACTAAACATTTCAGTAAGGTAATGATGAAATATTTAAACTATAAATTTTTAGTTAAACAATGTTTATCTAAAAAGTTTGCAAAAGGAAAACTAGATGTTAAAAAGATTATTCACAACAAATTAGTAGGTATTTTGATTTGCCAAACCAGAAATTTAAATTATTATTTTAATTTTCATTTATTAATATGCGTATTATTTCAATTATAATTTATTAATGTGTATATACATATGTGCATACACAACTCAAAAAAAAAAACTTTACAGAATCTCACGCCTGTTAATGGGTATTAGTAAAATTATATATATATACATGTAAAACATTTTTATTTCATAAATCCGTCGCTTTATAAAGCTTTAACTTTTATGTTTTAGCCAATATAGCTTTTAAGATTTTTTAACTCCATTGATATCTTTGGCAGACCAAAGATATCAATGGAAGTCATAAGACCCGATGTATCATAAGTTTTCTTTATAATCCATCATGTCCAAATATAATGCAGTGTGTCAAGTTTTCGAATAAGTTTATTCAAAATGATACTTTTAAAGAATCGTGCTCTATTTGCTTGAGACATTTTATTTTATGTAAATGAAAAACAAATTTATGAACTGCTTCTTAGGAACATTATTATTTATTATGTTATATAAGCCGTGAGGATTAAATGAACTGAAAAATTTCCGATTAATAAAAAACTTATTTATGCGACTCCTCTGTGATCAATCAATCGTCAATATCTCTGATCAACGTGATTCCTTTTACATGCATCGTCAACTCAGCCTGCATATCAGTTCATTGAATTGAACTTGAGTTTACACTTATTACCTTGATAGAATGTCAAGTTATCGATATTGATTTCATAACAACTGATTTTTTCAATTGAATTGAAAGAAATAGTTTTACAAAATTATAATTTCATATTATTTTTCGTAACACTAACTGGAGAATAAATTATCTACATTTTAAATAGAAAAGAACGACACAAACTATTCCGGGAATAACATAAATACGAAAAAATACTCTTTAAATTTAAAATATTCTCCATAAAAAAATGTACAGACACGACCAATATGACCAATATATATATAATAATATATATATATATAACAAAACTTCTTGGTGCAGCTTTACAATAATGGGCCTGGCCATTGGTATAATTAAAATAATATTTATTTATTTATGTATAAAAAAGAAGAAATAATAACAGTTAAAGTATTATAAAGAAATGTGATGTACAAAGGGTAACTTATCTCTTAAAAGAGATCTCTACCAGAACATTGTGAGAAAAGAAAGCAGTCATTGTTAATCAAGACAACATCATTTAAATTTTTCCTGGTATAGCATTTGGAGATATTTAAATTAAAGTAACATTTTTCAACTACAAATAGTACTTCAGTAAATCGAAAAGAAAAAACAATCTTACGGTGAAAATAAAATCTTTTAACAATTTTTCCCCAAAAATAACGTTAAACTAAACTTATATCCGTCTGAGATATAAATCTCTTTTTTTGTAATTTTGGGGGATCATTAACAACCCTACTTTTATTTATCATTAAAGAAAAGCAACGAACTTTTTAGATACGTGGGATTCTTTGTCTCCTCGGTCACCTGAAAGTGAAAAGTAGTCATCTTCCTGACTTTTTTTGTTTTATACCTTGCTTTGATATCAATTTATAACAAAAAACAGACCTCATAAGCTTGAAATATAAATATAAAAGTGGCTTAGAAGTTGACTTTAAAAAAAATACTAAGAATATTTCTGAATTGGATCAAAGGTCAAGTAGCTTATTTGCATTAAGTGATGTAAACTTTGCAAGAAAAATTTGATCTTATATTGGTATTCAGTCAATAAAAATGGTTGCGATTCTTAATTTTGGTCAGACCTTCTCATAATTGATGTTCCTTGAAGTTTTCTTTAGGAATCCATTAAAATAATATTAAATAAAGGTCATCGTAAAATAATCAAATTAATTTTAATTAAGTAGATTTTTTGTGATATTTAGAAATTTTTTACTCTTTTTTGATATTTTTCATGGTATTCTGTGAGTTAATGTTAGGAATTATGAGTTCTTTATTGTTTTTGTGCCATTTGTTTATTAACATTTTTGAACTGATAAAATAATTCTTACAAATGTTTATATTTTATGGAATATCCCTAATTACATAAAAGCATTTTATATTCATATCGATAGTTATCAAGTGTTTAAATTTTTCCAGTTGAAACTAAGCGGAAGTTTTTAGATTCAGTATTATTATTTACGTTACGTAAATATATTGTCATGTCTGAAATACTCAATATTCTCTTACATCTGTAACAATAGTAAATACGTTGAAACAGTATGACAGAATAATAGCTTTTGTTACAGTATTATTTCATTTACGGCAGTAAAATATTTTCTACAAGGTAAAATAAATTTATATTTCATTTTCATTTATCTTTAAGTGTGAGAGAAAAATTAAAAGAAAATTAAAAATAATAAATATAAAATATCGTTACATATAAATTGAAGAAAAAAAATACAGGATTCCAATTAGCGACATTCATTCTAAAAAAAATTACTATGATACTTGTTTGCACACCAAAGGGTTTAATTTGTTATCCCGAGTACCCTTCATGATAATTTGCTATTGTATAAATATTATGATTTTCGTTTTTAAAAGAAAATTTCCTTTTCAGAATCAGGCTATGAAGATCGTCCGCACTGTAGGTCAGGCCTTTGAAGTCTGTCACAAGATGCAGAAAAATACACCGGACAACCCTGTGCCATCAACATCTGCATCTGACGTTGTCAATGAACCGGCGCCCAAAGGTCTGTTATAGCGGTTTGGTAATAAATCGTCGATTGTTTTTTCTAGTGTTTTTCAATCAACGCGAACTACCTGAACAGCTTTGGATAATTGAATTCATATCAGTTTACATTACGCTTCATGTCTGAATTGACTGACAATTAATTTATTTATTCAATTGAGATTGAAATGCGATTTATATCTTATTGCGACTTGCGACTATCTTTGTGTTTTGCCCTTATTTTTAATTATTTCTGCATGCCTGCGAATTATTATCGCAATAGAGTTGGATTACGCTCGACTTACGTTGACGTAAGCTTGTAAGAGTGCTGACATAAAATGAAGCTATAATTTTCGGATTTCCCATTTTCACACACCAACAGGTCATCGAGCGTACCGTCATAAAGCAGAAACTGATTTGTGCCAAGTATTTGAATATAATTATGAGAAAACAGACAAGACATCCTCATGTTCGTTACATTAATAATATAGTTAAATATAGTGGATTTATTGCTTTGGACATGTATTTTGATTTTGTAAAATCTATCTGCTGCCGTGATCGGTGTGTCTACTGTGCCAAGTGATAAATCAAATTATACACTTAGACGTTCTTTTTAATATTTCTTATAAAATACTACAATACTACAGTTATTATTATACTCTCAGAGTAGATTTCCGAGAAAATCACGTGATTTCATAATTTGGCACTCTCGAGAGAAAAAAATCACTAAAATCACTACAACCCACACAAGATAAAATAGATTTATGAAATTCGATTGATATGAATCATTTTTTTTCTGTTTCGTAAAATGAGTAAGCGATTACTCTAGAGATACTGATAAAGTTTCGTGATGAACGCTCCTATCTGTGCTATGAATATGTATGTTACAATGTTGTATTTACGTTTAGTTGCAAACATACTTACATTCGTATAATGAAACAAAATAAACTTTTATTTACTTTGCATATCCCAGATAAACAATACTTAAATGATTTATGTTTACGATGTAGCTACGGTCAGTTCTAGATATAAAAGAAATTAGATTAAAATTTATATTGACGTTACTAACAAGAAATGACGTTTCTGAATTAATTCTGATTTTTTTTTTTCAAACAAGTCTAATGTTTAAAAAACTACCCATTGAGTGGTGTTGTTTTCGTCTATACATGTATTTTTAGATAAAATTGTTTATATTGTACGCTTTTAGGCATACGTTGTCAACACGGGCCACTCGACAGCAAAGACCAAAAAAGCTTTTGTGAAAAAGGCGCATAGATTAAATTTTTTATCAAGAAAAAAGGTTGTATTTTAAACTTAAAATACCTCTGTAACTTAAAATAATTTTGTCCTGAAAGTTGAGGAAAATCTTTAAAAAAATATATTTTGAATTATAAAAACTCCTGTAGAATCTTTATCAATTTATTTCTTTGAATTGACAATTAGTTACATTTTTGAAGAAAAGAAATATACAAAACTTATAAAAAAAGGTTTTATATTTTTGTATAAAATTACTTTTTTGATGAACCCAGTTTCTTCTGATCAGTTACTCTATAGTAAAAGTTATTTGGAAACAAAATGTGACGGCAATTCATTTATCATTCTGGAGTGGAACTTGGCTCTATAACCATTTTTTTAAAACGAATTATAATTAATTGTTAGAGTTGTTTCATTGACATTCCTATGATCTTTTTAACGGGCAGTCCTCTACCGTAATTGTTTGTACGTTGTCTTGCATACGGCATTGTTTGGCTATTGATTAAAATGTGTTTCAGAAGATTTCAAATTATCTTTGAGAAATAACTATACTAATATGTCAATAATAATAATTTCCATGCAAGTGAGGTGGCGTTTATAATATAATTAAGATATTTAAAGGGGGGGGGGGGGAGGTCGAGTCAAATCTCATCTAATATTATGTTGGAGGGTGGGTCCTGATAATATCACGTATTTCTTTTCTGAATGAAACGAAAACTGGAACACATACGGTACTTACTTTGCATCTAGCATAAGAGCTTCAGAACACAGGCGAGCAGCCCACATCACACCAGCTAAGCAAGCGCATATATTCCGCAAAATGCGACCCTCACGAATTGTCTTAAGACGAGCTAATGAGTTACTGTGGGCAAGCGCCAACGGCTTAGAGTGACTAGATCAGAACGAGGTTGAAGAAGTAGATAATTTTACTGAAAATCATATGGACATGGTGGTTCCAATAGTCTCTGTTGAGATCACGCATGAATCTCCATGGACTGAATTAGAATAGATATTATTTTTTAAACTACAGTACTTACGATTTAAGTATTTTATTGTAAAATTTTTATTAAACTTATAATTAACTCTCAGCAATATTGATGACTAGTCCTAAATAAAAATACAAAGCAAATTTTCTTTTCTTTTTACAAAAAGAAACCTACATTTTGAAAAATCTCACATGAGATTAGGGGTTGGGGGAGGGGGTTGAATAAAATCTCATCTCATCTCTGGGACATCTCCTCAAGTGGAGAGGTCAGAGGAGGGTCAGAAATTTGAAAAAACACACCTCACATTTTTTAAGAACGCCCCCTAACTATCTTCTATTTGCGTCTATATCGTTATAAAAATTATACGCATATTATTGAAACATCATACTTTCATTCTGAAATTATGATATAAAATTATACAAATTAATGTGAAAACATATTAATAATTCTGACTTCTCTTTTGTTATCCACCTTGTGACGCTTATTTGAAACAATAAACCTAGAAAATGTCACAAATTAAAAAAAGATACTGTGATTTAGTTCCTGATTTCAGAAGAATGTATGAAATTTAATATGTGCAACTTATGTCCTATATTTTCAAAGTAATAATTTTTTAAGTTGAATAATGCTTTTAATATAAAATTATCATCTATCTATTTGTGATATTAATTGACCAGAATATGTAATAAACATATGCGTTAAAACAAATCTAAATCTAAAGTTTCTAAAAAAAATCTAACAAATAAGCGGGAAACTTCTTTTTGTATTTAATTCTAGGAATACATTAAATTAATATTATTTTTAAGAATTGAAATCTTAATAAACAGCAATTTCATTAAATGTTTATAAAATTATAATTATAGATATCGGTTATAAGATTGGTTTACAAGCTATCTTCGTCTATTACATTTTACATCAAACATTGTTTTAAATTTATTACAGTAACCCAAATTGAATAGATTCCAAACGGACATTTTATTGAGGTACGAAAGCAATTCTAGTTTTTTTGTTTGAAAATCGAACTACTGAACCAATTCGTATTCAAAATTGAAATTTCGTAATTTATGATATATTCTAGAAATAGTTCAAGGTGTGCTATTATACATACAAGCTGTATTTTGATTTAGAATTTAAAGCATTTTGACAGAATTTTTAAGAAAATATATATGTATGTGGTATACTGATTCCACCGACATACATATTATAAAGAAATTTGATAAATTTTCGCTTATTTTTGGTTTAGTTGGATTGTACAAATATTTAATATATGTAATTGTATGGGTTATGCGCGAAACAAAGTCCAGTTCAATGGATTTGATTTACATCAGTCGGATTTACCTCTTTAGCCACTTTGAAATAGGAAATAAATTTCCAAATACTTATACTGATGTGAAAGCTAATAGAAATTTTATGATTTTAGATTAGATTTTGTCTTGTATGTTAAAATCATTATAATTAATGCAATCAAACTACGAAGAAAAACATTTTATTTTCTAATTTAATTATAAGTCCATAATCTAGAATCTAGAATGTTTATGTATAAACTTCACGAAACCTATTAATTAATACATAAATAAATATGTATATTTTTTACCAATAAGATTCTTAAGGTTTATAAACTCTATAAACAAACTTGACCACATCTTAGTTGTTCGTTTTGTAAATAAAAAGTCATGATACACATTTGTAATTCAAACAAAAATCGTACATTGAAAATCTAACCATATAAAACGACAACATACTTTATTTCCTTGAACGTAGCACTAAAAATGCTCTTTTTTAAAATCCTTTTCAATACTTTAAGTTGTCAAGCGACCGAGATGTCACAGCGGCTTAAATAAATCTCTAGATTCTTCGTGTTAGAAATTATTCTTTTTCAAATGTCAAAGACGCGTATGCAGACTCTGGCTTAAGAAGTAAGAGTGGTATTGAAAATATGTATAACGTAGAACATTTATACTACTATAACATGTGTCTTGATTTTATTTAATGAAGAGCTTTGGTCACGTGCTCTTTAAATACCTCTTGATCTGTAACGAAAATTTTTCGTCACACCATGCTGATAATTTATCTTATCTAAACAATAAAAAAAACAACATATTCAATAACTTTGAATTAAGTATTTAATAAATTTGTCATTAGTGCACTTTGCACAATGACAAATTTAGCATTGTGTTGACCTTGACCTTGTAAAATTTTGCGCAATTATAATTTATTATTTTATAAATTATGTGACTGTATTATCAGAATCTGTCTCGGAGTGTGGCGCTTCAGAGTCTGTTGCATCTACATCGAAAGCTGCTGATGACCCGAAGACTAAACCCACGAGACCCAAGAATCTCGATTTGTTACCACCACCGCCAAAGAAAGATGGGAAACGAGTAAACCAGGTAGTAGTAATAGATTTTTTTATGAATCAAGTATTTTTAGTATAACTTTGTACACATTGGTTATAATACTATTACAGTATCGATCCTACAACAATTACATTAATTTTCTTGTGTAAACAAACTTTTTCAGATTTGATTATAAATATTAGTTTCTTAAGTCAAAATTATTAACAAAACTTCTTTCTTGCGTTGTTTTTTACTTGAACTTGCTCCTATATATTTTCCATTAGTTTTATAAACAAAGCAGTCGTTACTCACCGCAAGTGTAACCTTTCTACGGTGAAATAAAAAGGACATTTTTATATTTAATATCTCTTAAGGACGTTTTATTCAATTGAGAATTTGTTCCTGAAAGGGGAAACTTTTCTAAGTTTGTTTCCGTAAACAAGATAGGGTGGATTTCTTGACGATATTAAATTGTGGAAGAAATAGCTGATCTAGTTTCCGTGTTAAATAAATATTTATAAATATAGAGCTAGGATGTACCGAGAAAACTACCGGGGTTCTAATGATGATACCTTGTTAAGCTGGACATTTATTTTATATAAAAAATGAAGACATAACAAATTAACAAAGACTGAAGCTAGTCTTTAATAATTTGTTTTTACTTAAATTAAATATCGAAAACTATTATATCTTTTTCATCACTAGTCACTAGTAAAAGCAGAAGCAATATCCAAAATATACGTAATAATATCTCAACTCTCGGAAGCGCAACAATAAATCATAACTCTATTATCGACCCGAATAGCACTATGATACTACTTCTAGATTTCGAAATGACGTAACGAGTGACGCAAGAACACTGAAAAATGTAGACTATGATAAAAGATTTACGTTGAAAGCCGCCGACCTGTCACTGATTTTTTAAAGATTCAAAATATTTAAAATGTAACGGAAAATAAATATCTTGGAGAAACATAATTAATGTATTGGAAAAAAAAATTACCAAGTTAACAGTTGTGATTGCAAAAACCTTAGATTTCTCATGTACTTTCGCGTACAATTATTTTTTTTTTCAATTAGAAATATTTACTAGTACAAGAATCGTACAGTTTCATCAATTCTGAGTATTTTTAAATTTTAATATTTTCTCTACTGTTTACCGCCTGTCTCGGTTCAGTATAAATAAGAAGAGATGTACCACATAAACACATTTTCTTAAGTGACGAATGAGAACCTAATCAATGACCAACACCAACCTATAGTATAGTATTTTATAATATTTACACTTTTTATAACATTTATATATGTTTTAACTCACTAACACAAAGATTAAGGTTTAATTTAATAATAAATTCCCAAATCTATAGGGCAAATCCTACATCTAAAGAACAAAAGCAAGCAATAAACTTAAAAGTGGACCAGCAGCACATTTAACATAAAAATATTATTCAATAAATACAAATTTTATTTACCGTTTTATTGACTTCATAACAGAATTTTAAAAAAGCTGAAAGCCTTCTATATATAATTACGAACAGAGCGCTGGAACAATATGGAATTATAATATGATAACATTCACAACATCTTATTGTATTTTAGTTTAATTAAATTTTTGTTCCGCTTTTTATATTTTACTACTGTATGACACGACATAAATAGTAAAACTAGACTTGAAGCATTGGTTTCCAATATGTATAATTGAACTTTAACCAACTCTTTTAATTAGTTGACGATGGAAAGTAACAAAAAATAGGGATAATCTAGTTCATAGGTAACGGTTACACTTAGTTACAACATATTGTTTTCGCTACCGATATGTTTTCTCGTAACCTAATACTTAATAGACATATATAACTATTTTATATGTATCAATTAGAGCAACAAGTGCATCAGCCAAGGGTTTCATAAGTGCCAACAACTTACATGTTATCATTATGAAATAGATATTTATTAATATTTTATTAAATTAGGTAAACAAACTGCAATTTTTCATGTTAACTTTTATTTTAAAACATTATGAGCTTTCCCATGATCATAAAAATAAATCTAACATCACGCTTAATGATTAAAACTTATACTTCTGTTACTTAATTTTCAATCTTCCCAAAAACAAGATTTCATAATCATCAGATGAAAACTGTCACACACCAAATATGTTGTATAAAAAAATATTTTATTACTCCATAACTGTAATAAATATAATATATGTATAGACAACATAATTATTAAACCAATTAAATATGATCGGTTTATTAACGAAGTCCCTTATCAGGTTTGGCATCTCGCCAACTGCTATCAACTTCGTCGAATGAGTTTCTTGATTATTTCAATGATAGTTCAAAAGAATCCAATAAGTATACAAGCGTACCATTCGTTTATTTAGTGATTCAAAATTGACTTTAATTTTCATAGTAATACTGGAGAATAAAAACGAATATTAATATTTTACGTTCTCGGTAACCATTTTAAATTTATTTTTAGTTTCATTGGAAATCTCTTTTAAGTTACAATTAAAACTGTCATTGCATCGAGATGATTAAAAAAAATTCTTTTTATATGTATGTGAACAACTGAATGTGTATTCTACTATACTACAAAATATACTACAAAACATACTACATAATATACTACACAAGTAATTAAATCTTCAAATTTAATAAATTCTCGTTAGGGTTTTATTAAAAACTTGATTTTTATAAACTACAATTCTAAATTTAGCCCTTCATCAAAGTACTTGTTTAAGTGCCTTTTAGAAGGTATTCGGGGTATTTTTGTCGGCCTAACTGGCTTTTATCTTCATGAGTTAGTTATGCATTAATCTTTGAGAATATTAACATCTTCCAGGACTTATAGTGATAGAAAGAAATAAAATAATGATTATATTATTTTGCAGCAGATCTCTATTCCCAGCATCAATTTGCCAGACCTGCCGGAGTGCGTCACCAAAGTGGACGTGATTGTGCCAGAAGGAGATGCAGCAACACCGCTTAGCTCTCAACATCAAGTGAAACTATTGCGGGAGCGTCTGGAACAACAGTCACAACAAACCCAAGCAGCTGTTGCGCAATTGCTGCTTTTGCGCGATCAGCTCGCTGCAGAGCAAGCGGCTCGCTGTGAGGCTCAGGTATTGAAAGCAAATCTTGATCACTATGTTTATTTGTATTTTTTTTACTTGTAAAGTAACCAAACTGTTATCCCTCGGAATCTATACCGACTTCAGGAAAAATTACAGCCTAAAATAAAGAATAACACTATTCCGTTTTCTGAGTTACATTATTGTACAGTTCTGTCAAAATGTTTTGAATGAAAGAACACGAATTTGTTCTCAAAATGGTGCCAGCATACATTTATATTATGTTGATAAGTAATGAAGACTTTAATTATAGACGTGAATTACCTGAACATTTTGCATATTTACTATCTAACGATTTAAATCAATCCCATTATAATCCTCTAGCCATTTCGGCACCATATACTGATTATTATTTACAGGCCCGTACCCATCAATTATTGGTACATAACAAAGAACTTCTTGAACATATTGCTGCTCTTGTCTCTCATTTACAAGAGAAAGAGAAGGGAAACAGCCGGCCAATTAGTGCTCAACAATTGACGCTCTTACCACAGGTTAGTTGTCTTATTAGCTAAAAAATTATATAATTTAGTTTCTCACAAAGACGTAAATTGTCATTAATATGACTACCCTACATATATGATGCACGTTTTTTGCGTTTGTCATGTGCTTTGTCTTTGATTTTTTCTATGGTCGTGGACGTGGTGTTTGTTTCTTTATAAAGAATCATCACTAGTAAAGACTAACATTTTTTTACAAATAATATAAAGTAACTAACACCCAAAGTATATAAAACAATTAAGAAAGTTATCCATGTCAGTGGTCAGCTTGGTCGTTCTTTGAATTTTAAAGACAAAAAATATATATTTAAAAACCCCTGATAACTTACCTGACACAGTATAAAAAGGATATATATATACGTATGTATGTATGTAATCCTTCATGAATCCATTTTAGGTTTCAGTTTTTATGTATATGGTTATTTTATTTTTCTTTGAACATTTATGTGTTTGCTTGTATATGTTTTATTTGTATGATTTCATTTATAATGTAATGATTTTTACAATGGCATGAATTATATGTTGTATATCTTTTTTGTAAAGTGTCTTCTATATGTTTATACTATAAATGTTAATAAAGTATTTCCAAAAAGTAAAAGATCAAAATAGCAATAAACATATACAAAACACAATAACGTATCATGTTGGTTACATTTTTATTATTTATATCCATGCATTTGATTATTATTAATGATACAGAACATTAGATTAAAGTAGTTAGGTAAATGCAATAGATACACAGCTTTCAGTGTGGCATGTCTTTTTGCTTAATTTAAAACGAAGATGTATTTTGACTTATGAATAAATATATTTGTAATATGTTAAGTCAAAATATTCTGAGGGCTTGTAAAATTTGTTAAAAGTCAATTGACTCAAAATTAATTTGAAACTAATTTATTTAGACAAATTCCGGCAGTAATGATGGGAAGAAAACTGAAAATATAAACAACTGTAATGGAAATTACGAACCAATCAATACCAATGCTCTGATCAGCTTAATCGCTAAAAATTACAACATAACACAGAATGTCGAAAATAATAACATAAATATCTCAACTTTACCCGGAAGTTCATCTACTACTGCTAAGCAAGATGGCTCCAGCTCATCTATAAACTTCGAGAACATGACAAACGAACAAATTCAAGGGTACTTGATATCAAAATTTCAAGACATGAACGTAACGAATGGGTCAGAGAGCAAAGAGTTCTTCCAGAATTCCAAAGCTTTTCCGGATATTCCACCGTTGAAGAATTTCAGCAGTTCTGACTTGGTAAAACTGCTAAGTAATCAGAATTACGTGGAAAACAATAACCCTGATAATGACCTCAATGCTCTCGTTCAGGCTATGAGCTTAGCCGAATCACAGAATTCGCTTTATAGCAGTACTCAAACTTCTTCGTCGAATTCTTCCCCTGATGATGTAAGCTCTGATGATGGAGCTTCGTTTATAATGCCATTATCTCACAATGGTACTTTAGCTGCAACTGGAAACGACGGCCGATTAAGGTTGATAGTACCCGTTAGTCCTTCTGAAAGTATTTCAAAGGTGGATGAGCTTCAAGCTAAAGATGATGGAAATGTGACATCAGGAATGACATTGACGGTACCAGGTACTACTTCCACGCTTGCTCCGCCAGCACCGATCACTCGTTCTACCAGCGAAAAAGTACCAAATCGTAGCGAACTGATGTCGGCCTTGCGAGCACAATGGACTAGGCATACGACAAAGTAGAGAAATTATTTATTTTAGCCAACTTGAGTCCAGTTACCTTTATAACTTTTATTTTAATTATAATCTAAGTTTTCTATTTCAGATGTTATTTATCTATGTGATTTGTTAAATTTCTATATCGTCAGATACGACTGAAAGACCACAAAAGTGCCAAATTTAATCCATGTAATGGTTGTCGTTTGTAAGAATAGATTATGACCTTTATTACATATCAAATATGATTTAGTCTCTGATTTCTTTGTCTTATCATTTATACCCATTACATATCTTTTTATCATATCCTTATTTAGCTTAATTAAAATTAAATGGGGTGTTTGAACATTCATGTTCGCTAAACTTAATGTCTAAAAAAACTTTCAGTGTTCAGAAATATTTACTATTGGACTGGCTTTGAATAATTAACAATCAATGTTGTTGCTATTATATTACATTTATGTCGAGCATTGTAATAAGATAATTTCATGATAATCTCATTGGGTTCGTAAGCAAAAGTTACAAACGTGAAATTATTTGAAAGAGCGCAATTATATAAATCATAATTAAGAGTTTAAAAACCATAATGAGATCTAAATCAATGTAAGAAGAGTACTTCGAGTTTGTCATGGTTTAAAAAAAAAACCTATAATTGTGTTAAAAAATTCTCAATGTTAGAAGTTATACATAATCATTTTCTATGACATGTAGTTACTTAGAATAATAAACTTATAGTTTGTAGAAAACTATGACATAAGTATGTGCCAATTGTTTATTTATAATCTATATAAAAGTGCTAATAAAATTTTAGACATCTTTCAGTAGTAATTCGAAGATTTTTGGCAAATGTATTCCAATAAATTTATTAGTAGTTTATCGATGTGTAGATGTCTTCAATAAAACTATAACCGAAATTATTGAATGTTTTACCGTTTTATGATGTATTAAGTAGACTTAGTAATGTTTAAAAGATAAGATGAGCGTACCAATACCTTGGGTTTAAAGAAAACATTAATTGATTCGATTTTGAACAGCTCATCTTTTCTGCACCAAAAACTAATTATGTGTCAAAGTAAAAAAATATTTGTGTATAATTAAGAAATTATTCTAAATTTATTGAGCTGACTTGTTAATTGTAATTTCTTTCATATTATATTTACATAAATCAAAAAACAATATGTATTTACATATTAAACTTAATATTTTGTTATTTGTATACTTTATAAAAACTTTCGAAAAATTAATGTTTTCAATGTTATATGTAAGTATGCACAGCAAACACATAATGGTTGATAGAAAATAAATATTATGGATGTCTTTACTAAATATCTTATTTTTCCCTACATTTATTGAAAATTAAAAAAGGCAAGTTTAAATATACAGGCATATAATCGCTATTATATGTCAAGAAAGTGTCAGCTAGGATATCTTATTAAAGGAAATAAATTATTTAAAAAAATCAGAAGTGTAAAAATACGTCCGCCCAATAAGAGAAAACTTGCAAAATATAGAAATGATTTTTGAATATGCTTCTTTGAATGTCTCCTTATAGAGCACGAAATCCGGATTTTTTATTGCATGCCTACTCTCGCCCCCAACAAGAACTTAACGACGTGTATAAATGGAAGACCAAATCGATACATAAATTTACAAATTATTTATTTTGAAATATATTAACAATATAACATATCCACATACAGAACAGAAATCTTCCTTTTTTTCCTTTCCCAAACAGTCAAATAGTTAATCTTATTTATATTTAACTGAAAAATCTTAAGAAAATAACACTATTAAACTAATAATTATGATAACTTAACTTAATTGATAAAATATACTTTTAAAAAGGTTATTTTAATCTTCAATAACGTTTCTCTTTAAAATTCCAAATTCAAATTACATTCCTAAATATTTAAAAAAAATTATGACACTAAAGTGATTACTTTTTCTATTACTCTTCGAGTCAAATATATTTAAATCTGAAATTATTCTATTCAAGCCTCAATTTCAATAGCACCTCGATTCGATATGGAATTCATTTCTGATGGCAATCATTTATATTTAAAGCTAATATGGCAAATGTATAATTTTCAAACAAAACTACATTAACATAAATAATTAATCAGGGGCCTAATCGAGAGCAATCTTATACAATTTTATTTAATTACATCTATAAGCAATTAAATCTTTAAAATATGTTTCACTGAATTTAGCACAATTTTTGTGGTTTGACTTTTATATTTATTATTAATGGAATTATAAATGGGGTCAGTAATTAGTCAATAATTGTTTTAAATTCTGAATTGACTGGAAATTGATATAGAAGAATATATTATAAACTAAAATAATTTTTCATGGTAGAACTTTAATATCAATATTGATATATAAACTTCTACTGCATATAAACAGTAATAGGTATGTTGTGGTCATTAATTTATTATATAAGTATTTGATAACAAGAAAACCTCGATCTTCAATATCGACAAAAACTTTTTATTATAGTAAAAATCTATTCAAAATAAATAAAAGGTATAATAACGTAGACATAATTACTTTTTATGTATTAGCATTCAGAACGATTTCATCAATTAAAAAAGGTAAGTTCACTAAATAACTGTTCAGTTAAATAAATCTGTTACGGAAATTTTATTCGATATTCATTTTTACCGGCACTAATTACACAATATTAAGACAGTCTTTGCAGTAATTATGAAGGATTATGTTTCATGAAACAATAGCAGCCAATACGCTGTAATAAAACTAGTATTCTTGCTTTACGTTAAAAAGGCTAACCGTAACAATGGTACAAATTATTATTTTACAATATTTCCAAAACGTACTATAATACAAAGTAATTAAGCCATTTTTTTTTGAGTCTTTAAACATTGTCATGTTATATAAATGTCTTAAGTCTATATGGAACTCACAAGTACTAATACACAATAATTTTATGATATATAGTTGTCTTCAACCGCAAAGATTGACCGATGGTTTTCATTGCTGCCGACGGCACCCACTCTATCGAGACCAGAGAGTGGTTTTGTGTCTGGAGTGGAGGACGGAGCGGACACATTGACAGAGGCCAAGAACCTCCTTCTTCAGTTGGGTAACAAAAAGAAGAGACGTCTCCTGCCACGCTTCACTAGAAGAAAAATATTAGTGAATAAACACACTCAGCTATAACGGTATTTAAACAACATTGTAAGCAACTTCAGATTATTCATCACATTTAGCTAAATGTATAACGACAACAATCGAATTTTTGACATAAATATTATTCTTAAGCAATATGACATTGTTATACAACCAAAACAGCTACCAATCGTATTGTTATATTTTAAATAAGCTTTAGCAACAATAAACATTCCGTGATTCTAGTACTTGAAATAAATATAATGACGTTTAATTAATTAAGGCTTCATGTGATATTTAATTAGTTTATCCAAAAGACTATTTTAAAAAATTGTCACCTCCCTTAATTTCAAAGATTAAGATCCTATCTCGTTCCGAATTCAGGCAAATGATGATGAAGTGCTTCTCAGAGTATCTTACGAGCGTGAAATTTATTACATAGGATTAATTTAATATCACCTCGAGTTATAAGGTTGAGACGTTTCTAACGTCACATCAACTTTACCCTACTATAATTTCGCTATTACATGAATGTATTTGACATACATATATTATGTATAGTACAATAAACATAACGTGGATTCAACATTATTAATTTAATTCTAATGAAAAAAGATAAATGGTGGTTTAATTGGGTGATTAAAACAGTCTTAAGAGACTATTGAAAGTAATTTAGTGAAGAAGAAAAACAAAAAAGCAAGGTTAGATGCGCATGTGTAATTTAATTATAACAAATATTTTTTGAAACCTTTTGAATTCCTTCAGTTCTTAATACTAACACAATCAGCACTGGTTAACTGAGGGTTTAATCTAATATTTAGACGCGAGTTCCCCGGAGACCCATAATTTACAAACCCTTCAAGGGACCTTGAAAATCCAAGTAATATTGTTTTAAAATTAAATAATGTTGGCTTCTTTTGTTTCAATAATAAGCAGTTTTTTGTTTCTTAAAATTAGCTCGTTCATTGAACCTTGAAAAAACTATAATATATATACAATGTGATAGTTAGTCTTCGTTTTGTGAGCAACACCTTCAAATGACTTTGTAAACTAAAAATGACTGAGATCAATTTTTAAGGTTTATTATTTTTAAGAGCGTGTTTACGTTTAAAACATTTTTATTTTGGAATTATTACTATATATATAAACTTTACTATATTAATTTCATGTTCATTACTTTATTTTATCTTTTATACATTAAAATCATACATAACACAACAAAATATTTTTTTACCATGTTAATTAAATATAAAATATTTGATTTCTATATATATATATATATATATATATATATAATTTATTAACGTTTATCAGCAACTGCGATATTGTTTAATCTTTATATTATGTATTAATATTATAAGAACATTTAATGTAAAATAGTTGTGAACAATGTGACAAAATGCATTTTTAGAATACAATAGATTAAGTTTATATAAGCTTAGGTATTAAGGTTCAAGCGCTAGTTATTTCTGCGTTGCAATGAAAAATTACTATCAGTATAAATGTTCCAGTGAATGACAATGTAGGTACTTAAATTAAAATAAGTAATTAAACTATTACTAAGTAAGAGATAAGGTCTATTTGGACCACAACTTAATATTTAATAAATATAATTGTCAACAGATGAAAGGTAGACAAAGTTGAGACCTCGAAGTGAATGAGGCATTTGTTGCAAATAAAAATTTTGTCATAGTGCCATATATTGTAACAAGATGGTGCTGAGGACTCTGAAATAATAATACTTACACATAATTCTTCTTTCCTGTGAAAAATTTATAAGAGGTTTGAATGCGTAATTAAGTATGTTTATGTACTAAAGAAACTCCTAGATTCTTATTAGATCTCATTGAAGGATATTTTAGAGTTCACTAACACTGTAAAACGAAGTAAGTTTTAAAGTTAATTTACATTGTATAAGATTTACTGAATGGATTATTAAATAAGGTCTAAAAAACAGACTTGAAGTTTACAACAGAAATTTATATAAAATCCACGTAGGTATTACTTCTTTATTTGGATTGCGAATTTCAAGTGTGTCAACTATGTATATGGCTACAAAGAGTGAATGTATTGACTGATATAATTATGTGTTCTTAAAATTAAGTATGTTTTGTATTAAGTATTATACGATGTATTAACTATGAATTTACTTTTTTATTTTTATTTAATTAATTTAAAACATATAAGTAAATAAATTGTTAGTATTTTTTTTATATAAAAATATACTTCACTTTCAAAATCCTTTATTAAACATACTGAAATTTTCGTGAAATTTATGAACAATTTCATTACCTAATTTAATCTGTTTTCAGGGACCTTGTTAGTTTAAATATGTAACTTGCGTAATGCAATGGTTAAAGCTAACATTACAAATATTATAATCTCTAGCTGCCTTCATTTTATTCGTTTTGTATTTTATGCATAGTTTTTTACGCTTTACAAAGTTATACAAAGTAAGGCAATGAGAGCGCTCGGTCTAGACTAGGAAATGTAGGTTTTATTTGAATAGTCCTAATTAACAGGCACAATACTTCAAATTACAAAGTTTAAACTTTGAAATATATTGAAAAAAAAATCCTGTTATGGCTGCTGGAGAACAACACGGCACTACAAGTGTAAAACACAAAGAGCTCAAGTTTCCCAGACATATGCCACTTTATAACTTGTTAAGTTTTATACGAAAGTATACCGGGGCAGCCAAGAACTTGACAAAATTAAGGAATTTTAAGTTTCTGAGTACACATTACCGTCTTCAACAGTTTGAGAGGTAAAGCTTAGTACACATTTTCTACACAAAAAGGTGACGAGAACTGTTTGAACATAATTATATAATACAATGTATGAAAAATCAGAGCAAAATAATAATTAAAGTTCAGATATATGTACACATGTATATTTGAAATACAAAATGGGTAATGGCTGTGTTTATTATCTATTTAATATTTTTCCTGTAAATGATTTAGTATGTTTTAAAATGTAACAAAAATGTTTAGAATAAATCGAAAATACCATAAAATTTCTTACAATTTTAAGACTTTCTTATTTTTTATACTTAAACTCAATATTATTTTGTTTATGAATCTCCTTGCTAACAACATACTGGTAAATATCAATTTTTTTCTGGTTGAATGATTATGGGGATTCACAGAAGGAACGTTATAAATGAACTCTTTGATCTATTACTATAAAAATAAATAAGTAATAAGTAATAATTTTAAGTCGAAAGATCCATTTTTAAAACACTATTATTATTTTATATCTAAATACTTTCAATAAACTTTCTGTTAGATTTCTAGTGAAGTTAATAATGTTGTAATTATTTTCATAATACTTATTAATAGAATGTAATAATAACTGACCTATTACATTTATAAAGTTAGATGATATGTTATTGGAATATTTATTACTCCTCAAATATTTCATTTGCGTCAAGTCACTGTGAAGTCAAACACTTCCCCGTCTTACCCCTCACACACCCCACTAAGTAACTAGCATTAGCGCGAGAGCAGTGAGCAAACAATGTCGACTAGTCTGTTGAATTATACAAAATGGCAGGAAAAACTAATTACATTTAAAGGCAATATAGAATAATGAATTTATTAGTAAAAGTTTTTTATATACTTAACATACATACCTACCTGCATTCCTTTTTATATGCATAAAAAAGATACCAGGAGAACTAGTATCAACAGAGAAGATTTATTAGGTTGGTGCGTATGAAATGTCGGATTCTCTTTACATGCGGACGTTTGTTTCCCTGTTTTCGTTATACTTTTGTCTTTGGTATAACCTCATTCACAGTCGTATTGTCCATTGCCAGAGACTCATTTCAGCAAAATAGGTTTTCTCGAAGGTTTTCCCTTTTGTTATTTCTTTTGAGTTTATTGCCGATATGAATTCTGCCGACATTCGCGTCATTTTCTTATTTGAGTACAAACTTGGTAATAGTGTTGCAAAAGCTGCACGCAACATAAACCAAGCGTTTGGGGAGAATACGATTAACGATCGGAAAGTGCAGCGTTGGTTCAAAAAATTTCGGACCGGCGATTTTTCACTGCAAAATGAGCCGCGCGGAAGACCCAAAACGTCTGTGAAGAATGATGACCTGAAGGCTCTAGTGGAAGCGGATCCAGCCGTATGCACGAGGGAACTTGCTATCAGGATAAAAGTTGACCATACAACGATATTGAGACACCTTTCTGAGATGGGCAAGGTTAAGAAGATAGACAAGTGGGTACAACGCTCGGCCGCATACATCGCACAAAACAATTGAGAAACTGAACGAACTGTAATATGAAGTTTTGCAGCATCCACCATATTCACCGGATCTCTCGCCGATCGATTTTCATTTTTTCAAGCATTTACAGTTTTTAAGGGGCAAACACTATGAAAATGAAGACAGTCTAAAAATCTCGATATCAGAGTTTATTAATTCTAAAGACCAAAATTTTTTTAAGATAGGCATCTACGCTTTAAAATCTCGTTGGGAGAAGTGTATTGAAGCGAATGGAGCATATGCAGTTTTATACAATCACTTAAGAATCCGACATTTCATACGCACCAACCTAATATATAATATATATTGTTTTATTTAACTAATAAATTGTAATATTATAAAATTAACAATTTTTATTCGCAAGCTAAAAGATCCGACATTTTTATGTTTTGAAGTTAATTTACATCATGTTAAGGATATGTCATCAAACAAATTATAATATTATGTAACATTAGGACAATACCTAAAATTAAATTTCTAAATGTCAACAAGCTTCAATTGTAATTTATGTAGATTATATCCTTCACGAATGCAGTTATACAAATATTTCTTTCAATCTGAATTCATTCAATAACGAGTTAATCTCAGTGAGTTTACCACAACCTAGCCTCCTTACTACACCTTGCGTACGAAGCGTTTACCATTTCTCATTCAATAAAACCTCCGTCAATACTATAAATCTGTAAAGATTTACAAATTGAAAACCGAATACATTCCGAATTTATTATGGCGATGCAAATAATTAAGCCTTACTCATAATCATTACGTGTTATTTTTTAATCATAGTGGAAATAAGAAAATTGTTTCCAGACTTAAAAGGCAAAAGTTATCGCATTTACCAGTATTTTCCATAACCTTCAACATTTATATATATAAACAATATTTAATCACAGAAATGTTGGCAGTTCGAAATCCGTTATAATTATGCAAAACTAACAATTGCTAATAAATATAGAATAAAATTGATGACTTAAAATTTTATAAAACATATGGTTTATTTACTCCTTCAAAGAAATATTTCTTTTGTAAACACAACAAACAACATATTGAGTTTATAGTTGACTACTTTTTTTCCCTCTCTCGTATACATGTTCCTCGGCCACCTGGGAGGTAATGAACTCGGCTCGTAATCTAAAATATTTTTCAGAGTAAATATTTCGAAACTTTTAAAACAGACTTTTGAGATAGATGAATATAGAAAAGAAACAGAAATAAAAGAAATAGAGATAAAAAATGTTACTTCCTTTGAAAATATGTATATTATCTTTATATATATAATTCTTCTGTGAGTGTGTATGTCACTGAACTTCTCGCAAACGACTGGACCGATTTTTATGAATTTTTTTGTGTGTGTTCAAGGGGATCTGGGAATTGTTTAGATTCACAATTTTGTCCGCTGAACAATGTTTTTTAATTAATTTTTAATTTATTAGTAGTTGTTGATACAAACGTTTTTTTGACATTAGATTTGACAACTAACTAATATGTCAATCATTCTGTCACACTTCAAAACACGGAGATTTATGGCTTTAATAGGTAAACTCCAAAAAAAGAAATAAAAAAACGTAACAGATATTTCTTGATTATAGAGCGATACGAAGTTCGACTGGTCTTCTAGTAAGTATATAAATGTCTAAACACTATGTGGTGGCCTAGTGGTTACAGGGCCCGCCCCTCGTTGTCGAGGGCGCGGGTTCAAACCTGACAAGTACCAATGTGATTTTTCGGAGTCATATGTACTTTCTGAGAGTATTTAGACACTACTGACATACGGTGAAGGAAAATATCGTGAGGAAACCTGGACTTATAGTTTCACAATTATAAGTTTGAAATCACCAACCCGTCTTGAACAAGCGTAGTGATTAATGCTCAAACCTTTTCCATGTGAGAAGAGGCCTTTGCTCAGCAGTGGGCTTTGATAGGCTGATGACGACTATGTAATCATTTTCTTATTAATTTTAAGAAAAATAAGTACACCTATTAACCGGTTTAACTTTCTGATCGATAAAAATAACAGCAAAACCAGTTTGAGAATTATATAAATACAGCTACTTCATATCAACGACGCTTATATAACGTAACTTGATGGTAAGCAAACTTACGATACACCTGTGTATATGTGCTAGAACTTCTACATTTACATTACATGAATATTAATGGAAAAAAAAATAGTATATGATAATATGAAACACTAGCTACTAGGAATACTGTGAATGTAATAATAAGTCGATGAAAATTGTCTTCCCTTTCTACATATATACAAATATGCCCTCCATTTATGGAGGAAGGACCAAGAGGCAAAACCTCTCAGCATTTCATGGATTCATCCTTATTAGTCTAGATATATTGAAAAAAAATCTCATTTTATTTGTCACTAAACCTCTAACCCTAAATTACAATAAAAAAATCTTAGCATAATTGAGTGTAAAATTATTTTTTATCAAATTTTAAACATTTGAAAAGTCCACAATTTTAAATTTACTTAGAAATTTAAATGAACAAGTTTTTACAGCACATAATATTTAGGAGTAAGCAATACTGTCGAGATTTCCTTCATTTTAACAAAGTATTAGTAAAATGGTCATTTGTCTGATAAGTCTGACATAATTTGCAAAAGTTTGACGATACTTATTGATTAATAATCTAGTTTACCCAACATTGTATTTGGAATAAAAGTTTCAGGTTTATTTAATATATTAACTTATTTTTTGATTTAAAATCGTAAATCAACCCAATATTTGAGACTTTTGCTCCCTCATATATAACACATAAAATATAAAACATTATTGTAAGTCAATCTCATATTTTATTATTTTATTTAGATTGTAATGCAATGTACTCACAAATTCAAAATAATCGATTACCCGTTTTCGGCTAAGGAGCCGAGGTTTTAACACACATACTATGTACATACATACCTACATAAAGACATATATTAACTTACTTACACTTATACATACTTTAAAACAACCATTTCTCCAGTCGTTGCTTTCATATTTGTTGGGTGGAAATACCTATTTCTACAAATATGAGATAGTTATTTAATGGCTACCTTATAATAGTTAAGGTTGTATTGCCTAGGTTTCACGAATTTTATGGACGCTGATAAAATTGACATCAATTAAAATTTTTCTACCACAAGAGCACTGCGTTAAAAAAGCTATAATAACATAAATATATTTACTTCATTTTAAACTTTATTACAATCAGTGCAAGGCCTATGATTGTTAATTTGTAAGTCATCATTCTTAGTTGACATCAATTAAAGAGGCGTTTTGAAATTTTAATTGGCAATTATGGTCCTCGGTGGATTCAGCAAAGTGTCATGAAAATATTCTCCTAACAACAAAATGAAACACATGTTTCCCATTAATGTGTCATTGAAGTGTTTGTGAATTGCGAATATATCATAATTGAGACTGGATAGTGTATTCCTTAAAATAAATCGTTTATATAAGTTTACCACTTGTATTTACATTCCCTGTAGGTCAAATATTCTATATTGGATCTTGGAAGAGGTTTAGTCACGGATATCAAATTTAATGAATTTGATATCCTTCTGAGCAGCTCCTATAGCAAAGGATAAGAAAGATCAGTGATTCTACACGTTCCTTAAAATCGTAATAAAATGTAGATAAATATCAGATTTTTGTTTGGCTATTAATATTATGAATTAGAAAATATTATCAAAATTTATAATGGTACACTGTTGATAAAACAGCACCTGCAATCTGAATTAAAAATCAAAAATCAAAGCTAGTTTTATACATTGTAGTATACCTAAATATAACTTGTCAATGCATTGATAAGGATAGTTAGTAGAAATAATATTTGAGAGCAGCAACCAATACACATGACAAATAAATTATGTGGAGCTTATAAGACTATACCTAACTCAGAACTATATGACTAGTCACAGAAGGGAATCGGATAAATTATCTATGTTGACCCGTGAACCTACTTCGGACATTGTCACTGGACTGGAATGATGCAAGAAAACAATATTTATAAAAAAATCTTACACAAGAAAATCGAAATTTTGTAAAATATTATGCACTTTATACCATATGTGTTAGAACCGAATATATCGCAAAGTGAATGTGTCGGAGCTGGCTCTACTGGTTTACCAGTTTTCGTTTAGCCTCCATGAGTCGCGTACGTATGTAAATAGAGAGATTACAATATTGTGTTCAACGTGAGTGATTTACCGTTCTGTTTCTTGGAATGTACCGCTATTCCTTAGAATTATTGCCAGTTATATACCAATAAGTATGTCTAGAAATGTTCAGACATGTGTTGTACGTGTCAGGTGTAATGCATACGTTTACCATATGGTCATAATAAATGTTAAAAAAGTAGTTTTAGTTTCAAATATTCTTGTTGCTAGAGACAGTTAATTTTGAACCACCTCAGTGTTAACAGTTTTCAACTTTTAGAAGTTGCAGTATTTACTAATATACGTACCTACTCATTTTCTGAGATACAATAATAAATTAAACATTATGACGATTACAATAACACACTACGATTGTTATTACTACGAAATTTTTATTTGTCGTTTGACTCCATTGTCGATTTTGTTACATAATTGTTTTTTTTTTAAGAGCAACAACACGAGTGACATATCGTAATGATCGATTTTCATCCACCAATAGTTTCTAGATCAAAGTGTACCTTAATTCAGTTTTCCACCTACTGCCACATTTTAAGTATGTTTATATCGTTAGTCAGTACATATTTAAGACCATTTGATAACTTTTAAAATTTCCTTAAAACAAAAAGCCCCGATGTTATCTTATAAAAACGACTTTTAAAATCTTATTCACTTTTAAATTCATGTGAAGAAAAAAATATCTTTACAATATATTAAAAATTGTCCATAGGTAATCGTATTTTACATTCTAAATGAAAAATGCGAACATTTGTAAATATTGATGGAACCCAGTTTAACCATTTTCTACCCTTACTAAAATGACTTATATTACGAAACTCCAATTTAATTGAAATAATAGAAATAGGCATTATTAAGGTACCAACAATCCAAAACACCAGTTTCTAATTCTTACATAGCGTAACTCTCTGTTATTAAAATAAAAACTTTTACAATTATGCAAATATTTGCATCAGTTGCTCAAACAGTTCACTACTTCATATTATAAACCCTACAATGAGAGTGTAATTATAGATATTTGTAATTTTATAAATCAATATAGGAGGTAGTCGTTTTTATAGGTTTAATAGATATTATTTAACATTTTGTAACTCCATACACGTCTTGGAATTTTTTGAAGTTAACTTTCTCGTAAATTATAATTTTACATGCAATTATGCAACGTGAAAGTTACATTAATTAGGAACTAGTAAGCTATAAAAATATTATAATACCTTGTGTGCATTATGTTTAGATATAAGTACACGTTATATCACACTCGTTATTATAATTTTGTTCCTAGGTAATTTCCAAAAATGAAGAAGGCTAACTCAGTTCAAATAAAAAAAAGTGCTTTAACTGGCAATGTTGGAAAAAACAGCTCAAAAATTGGTCATACAGTGATTTCAAGTCCTAAATTACCAAACGTCCCATCATCTTCGGGTAAAAGTTTGTCGGCCCCCTCATACCTAACTCCAAAAAGTAATAAATCTTCCTCAAGTTTTGGCATAATTTGGTTGCCAGGAAGAAGGAGAAATAAACACAAAGAAATTGTTTATAATTCACACAAAACTGATGGTTCCAAAGAAAGAGCGCCATCTATGTATAATATGTAAGTATTACATAGCATCACTATTGATGATAATTAAAGGCATTTATTTATTTTAATTTTCCACGTGTTTGGTACGTAAATATATTTTATAAAATATAATCCTTTAAAACTGCTTACTATAAATGTTGCCAGAGGCCAAAAAACATGAAGGTCAAGTCTGTAATCCGTCCAAAGTTATGTTTGTAGAAGCTTGAACTTGAAGTTTAGATACCTACTTAGAAAGGTTAACAAAACAAAACCCCTTAATAGCTCGAAATCATTGATTTTCAAATTGTGTTTTCTTTCAACATAATTTTTAAGTGGTTAATTATATTTAGCAACTTACTCGTCTTACTTTTCTAAAACAGACATATTTTTCATTCATACCTCTTTACTGATAAAAAAAACTTTTTGGAAACTTATGTTTCTTACCAACCAAAATGCAGGAAAACAACAATTTCGAAACAATCATACAAAAATGGCGTCGTTTATCCGTTGTCGAACAAGTAGAACAAAAAGAATCTGTGGCAATAGCAAGGTGAATTTTGTCGATCGTGAAGTAATATGATAACTCGAGCCAGCTTTACTGCCCATTGTTTACATATTTTTATTGTCGTGTGTCATTTGATGATTGAAACTTAATCTTCAGTACACTAACATAACTCGTGTCAATCGCATCAAATATATTTTATTCTCATTAAAAAATAATTTGACTATTGAGATAATACCGTTTTTTATCTTTAGTATGTCTGGAGATTCATCTAATCAGCAAACTTTATTAAAGAAAAAAGAAGAGGATATAGATTTGTTTGTTTCTGGTAAAAGTGGAAATGCATCAGTAGCTGTTGCTGGAGCTGGGGTTGTTACATCAACAGAAATTCCTCCAGATATCGTTTATGCTAATCCTGAAGAGAAAAATGAAAGTCAAGAATTCATCAGACATAACAAAGAAGATAGCAAGGTAAAGATATCAATTTAGTGATAAGCTTATAAAATAACACACATATTTTTTCGTCTGTATATAAAATTTAACTCTTTCAGGAAGCTGCAGGAGACACTAAAGATATTGGAAGTGTTGATAAAAATGGTTTAGAAAGTAGAAAAGATGAAAATTCCCTGGACCCTAAAACAACTATAGGTCCCCTAGAAGACAATGTGGACAGTGTGTTCCTGAGATCACAACCTGCTCACAAAGTTCGATCAACAGCCTCAACTGTGGAAGAAGAAGACTGTGGTATTAAATGTCTCTATTACACTTTGCAATGTTGTGATTGTGTCCTTATGTAATGTAATTTATTAAGAGTGTATTTTGAAATTAATAACTTCCGATAACATTTAAGAAACTATATACAAAAATATAGTTTTGTTTCAGTGCAATTTTTTTTTACATATAACAAGAATTAAATAGAAATGATTATTTTAATTCAATTGAAATAAAATTTTTACTAAAGTTACTCATATTACTTATAATAATTTTACATTACCTCTCAAATACACTCTTAATTGAAACAGGTATATATATTTTTTTAGTATAATTTAAAATATTATCTAAGTATTTGACTTTCAGTGGTGCATTACTTTATTACTTTTATAAAATTATATAGTGTCAGGAAGTGAATTAACTTCAAAAAATTTGAGAAACTTTTATTGTTTACAAAAGACAACATATCATGTAACAATTTTTTTTTAATATTCATTAAGGATTTACACAGAACCAACAAAGTGCAACACAACATTTCAAATGACACTTAATTCTCCTGAAATAATATATTTTATATAAAATGTATTATAATTTGTTGCTAAGATTATTGGATAAGGTGCTTTGTCACTGTATTTGGCCACTTTGATTCCATGTAGTTTTTAAAGTAGTTTATATTTGTAATCTTAGAATCTCCAGCCTCCGTCCAATATAAGGAGTCTGTTTGGTAAGTCTCTAAAGTATTATATTTTTTAGCCATGTACACATTTTGTACTTAATCTTATAATATAAATAAAATTGTAAACAATCTTTGTTTTATTTTTGAGGAATCATATGTAAAAATATTTAATTTATATAGACACATTTGCTTAAATGGTATTTAGGAACAGTTCAAGAAAAAAAATGTTTATTTAAATTCTTTTTATTTATCTCAACCCACTTTTAATATCAACAAATAATATACAATAAGTAAAAATTAATATAAAAGAATTTTAATCAAAAACTATAAATTTTTTAAGGGGCCCTTCAACTATTACGTAAGCAGATTTATTACAAATATTTACCCCCCCCCCCCTCACCCCATATAAAATTATAATTATATTTTTTATGGATCTTCTCGATGTGATGATAAAAAAGTAAATAACTACCGATGACGTAATTAATACCTAGACTCCCCAACCCCCCATGTCATCCAAAATAAGCAAACCAAAAATCCTCCCGCCCCTCCATAGTGCTTACGTAATACTTGAACGGCCCCTAAGACAGTTTTATTTAAAAAAAATCTGAAAACAAATGCATTTGTGTAAATTTAAAGTAAGTACTTTAGTGTTGTACTTGAGTTAATTTTTAGAAATAACCAAATTTACAAATAAAACAAAAACAATTATAATATACAAAAACTTTACAAACCAAAACTAGAGCTTTTGGTAACTTAAGTTATTATCTATTAAAATATTGTTGGAATTTAAGTTAAAAAGAAGGGAAAAGTTTGTTTAGTATATAATTTGTGTTAAAGTTTATTTTTGGCCAACATGTGCATGACGATACACTAAATAAATAAGAAAGTAATTTTACATTCACAATTCAATAAAAATACAAAAATATACAGCACAATGAGAACTTACTTTAAAAACTGAAATATTAAATAAAAGTAATATATTTTTAATTACATTGCTTAAATTTTAAGTGACTTATGATATATTTTTTGGTTTTATTTACAAATTGTAATTGGTATAAATATGTTAATAATGTACATAGTAGCAAGTAATAAAACTTTATAGATATATTTTTAAATAGACATTGAATATAATCATGATTGATTGATAACAATACATGCAAGATAACAGAATGTGCCACAGAAAAACACAACACTATTATATTAATGTATGTACTATTTTTATGAGAATAATGTTTTAAAACTGTCTGAATAATAAATCACAAAACTATTAGATAGCTATAATAAAATACTTTAAAAGACAGTGGTACTTAAAGTAAAAATTTACATTGATTTAAAAATATTAAATGTTTAAGAATTCTCTTGACTTCATAGTTTCTTATGTGCTAGGAACATCGACTTATATAGCTAAGCTCATACATGGGTGGACATCAAATAGTATATAGAAAGGATTTATATAGAATATTTAAAGTAAATAGATAATAATATTGTCTTTTATACAAAGTCTAATATAGGATATTTTGGCGAATAGATTATGATAATTTATTAATATTACTAGAAGACCTGGCGCACTTCGTATCGCCCTATAATCAAGAAATATCTACTACGTTTTTTTATTTATATTTTTGGAGTTTACCTGTAAGCCATAAATGTCCGTGTTTTGAAGTGCGACAGAATGATTGACATATTAGTTAGTTGTCAAATCTAATGTCAAAAAAACGTTTGTATGGGAAATAGAAAAGGGCTGTTTTTATGGTTTTCCCAGTAATGAATCAATTTTTTTCAGCTTTTATACCTTCCCTGAACCTCCACGAACATTTCAAGACTAAGATAAGTTAAATCTGTTCAGCTGTTCTCGAGTTTTAGCGAGACTAAGGAACAGCAATCCATTTTTATATATATAGAAGATAGAAGAAGAAGATTGTACATCTATTGTACATTTCCATATGATTATTTGTGGGCTCTTTTACAAAACTGGCAAATTTAATATTTTATGATTATGCATAATAAAGGTCATTGAGAATACTTCAAATTCTAATCAGCCTTTTTATGCTTTGAGTTATATTTCATAATATGCTCACTTAAAACATAAATATAACTGCAATGTTGACTACAATACAATAATCATATGTCCTACCTACTATGACTGATAAACAGAAACATAAAGATAATGTCATAAATGAAGAAAAAATACGAACTAAGTTATGGTCAATTTGAATATATTAAAATGAAATCTTTTAAAATTATTCATTTAACATTTATAGGAATAAATCAGACTTCGTAATTCACTATATAAAATTTAAACTAATTTTTGTGTATTGGCAATGGATGTGCTTCAGAATTGATGACGTATTTATTCAAATCTATAATAAATCTATCGTCACTAAACAGAAGGTAGAGATATTTGAGTGTTTCTGAAAGGAAAAATGATTCCATCATGTCCCTTAGTACCGGTTTTTCAGATTTCACATTGTTGAGGGATGTGTATCCATTGGGTACTTTCGCGTATTTCTCGAAACTCTGAAAAAAAATCATACAATTTTAATACTAAAATTACAATCTGATCATATTTAAATTCTACATTAAATAAATTAATTCCATTTAATAGTGTGTCTAAAAAGACATTACAAGAAGGAGAACAACAAAGAAGAAAATTAAATATAATCTCAATGATGACACAAAAAGGAAAGTTTTCTTGGGGATGCTAATGAAATATTTTTTAGCTTCTATAGTCGTTAGTTATAAGCAGCAATAAATTATTTTATACATTCAATTTTTTTTTATAGTTTTAAAGGTAAAACTTTGCCAAAATAAAAATGATGAATGTTATGTCTCATATTATATAATAGTTTTGTTTAAGTACTCCTACTTGCCGATGACGGTTCTAAAAAAATATCAGATACTAAGTAATATAATGTCAATGTAACTATTTCTTTTACTGTGAGTAGATTTAGATTTGACACTAAAAACTGCAAAACTGTCTGGTTGAGTTTGGATGTATAATATAGTGGTAGAGTTACTGAAAACTAATACTAAAATCCGGTGTAAAATTTTTCTTTACATAGAATGTAACTTCTTTTTTTGAAGATCACAGCTTACATACCTGATCACAGCTTACATACCTGATATATCTGCCATCCCCAGTCTTGATATGTGGTGTTGCCAGTTATTTGATACATATACCACAAGCTTTCAACGAATTCAGGCCTCAGTAGATTATGAGCATCAGCTGTCTTTGTGTACATATCCTCTGTTGTACTCACCTGGTTCATATTATATAAATTAGTGAATTCACATTTAACAATGTAAACAGACTGTACTACTGAATAACGCTTTATAAATAATAGGTATTGGATATAAAACTTACAAAAGTGTTATCATCGTCTGAATGGATACAATTTAACCACAATCAATAATATTAATAATAAGTAAAAAGAAACATGTAAATTGGCTAGTATGTGAAATAATATATATTTTGAAAACGATTATATAAAAATATCTACCATATTAAAATGGGTGATCTCCGGGGCTAGGAACGTAGGGTGGGCAGCGTAAGTCAGGTAGCAGGTGTAAAGTAACTCTTCGGCCATAGTCATGTGCCAGTCTGGTAGGCCGTTCATATGACCCAGCGCCAATGTACCAGGGAGGAAACATGTTAAATGGTCCATTTTGGGATTGAACGCCTAGAAACAGTTTAACATTTGTTACAAAAAAATCTTAAATATAAAAGACACTGTGTTTAAAGATAGATGGATTATAGGGTGGGCCACTCTAGTATTGAAAAAAAAAGTTGCCGAATCACATTATGTTGTAGTGTGTTATAAAAAATAGTTTTAGCTAAAAACGGGTAATTAAATAAATGCTTTCAGCCCGCGCATGAATTTTAAAAATAAGCGATTTTGAAAAAAAAAGCACGTATTACTAAATGGCATAGTTTTTAACAGAAATTAATCAAAATATTATCAAAACAAAATAAATATTTAATGAAAGACATATATTAACGCTTGAAACGATACATTTAAGCAAACATAAAAAGTTAGCAAAAAAATTATTCATTTTTATACAGAAAATCCTGCCTACAGCGAATTTCGGCATAGCTTTCCCTGATGCAAGTTTTGCACGAATTCCGAGGTCCCTTGCTTTTTTTTCACATGCCGACTTCGCTCAACCGCTTCTGTATGGCAAGGCAGCCTCGAAAACAACATGCTTAAAACATTAAACTAAACCCAACGTCAAACGTGTAACTTAAGGTGCAAAAATGGGTCCTTGAACTTGTTTTTTCAAAAATCAATGGATTTGCGCGGGCTGTTCCAATTAAAATAATTATATAATATTTTAAAGGATTTATAACAATACCAAACTACAAAATATTTTTGCTATTAGAAATGGATATCTTAAAAAAAATTGACCCACCCTAATGGATAATGCTTGTTTTAATGAATCTAAGGCCTCTGCATACATTACAGCTTAAATATATAACCATGAAATATTTTATTAAGTTATTTGATTCATCCTATTAAGGAATAGCGTTAAAGTTGTTATTCGAAGTCGAATGCTGTAGTCTAGGATAAACAAACTAACCTCAGAACCAGAGGATAATTCGCCGATAAATAATCTTTTGTTTGGCGATGAACGTTTAGCGAGGTATTCTCTGACGCCCTCTATAGCAGTCATGTAATCATCCACCAGACTGTGGAATAAAACAATTCGTTATTGAATGAAAAAATATTAAATATAAAAAAAAAACTGTTTATACATTTTTAATATTTTTTAAATTAAAATAAAATTAACATTTTCACTATGATAAAGATTATTCAAGATAACTGCACAAATATTTCTTTGAATTGTTTAGTAAAGTATCGTTAATAATATAAAATATATGTATATTTGTAGCTTGATGGCATTTATTATTTTAGACTAATGTGGATATACTTACTAAGTTATAGTCTTTCCTGTTTGAAGCCATTGCTTCAGTAGATATTCGTAATAGCTGTCTCCACGTGCCCCCAATGTGATGGTGGCGTGAGGTGCAAACTGACCAGTGTTAGGGTTGATAAAGATCGGCACCAGACCGTGCTTTTTTGGCAGTTGATGAATCTTTTCAGACACCGCAGCTGCAGCATCCTATGACCAAAATATATTTTTTAGACTTATATTATTCTTGATACAAATATCTCAGGTTTTTATTTAAATAAGTAATTTGACTAACGTTCAATTGTATACGTTTCGCAATAGAAAATATTCATTTAGAATTTTGTGCAAAATAAACAATCGCATAACCTATATTACTGCACGTTAAAAAAATCGCATCAGCCTACATAAAACAAATGCGTAGCAAGCAACAATGGCGTGGCTCTTATTTTGCATTAAAATTATTTCGCTTAAAACAAAATAACTTTATAGTCAAGTACATTTCAATGACATGGCAAAGAATAATCCTCACACTGTTATACGCAATTGGATCCATTTATATCCTATATTTCTCAAGACAAATAACAAAGCATACGTATTTCTTGTTACTAACTTAATCACAATGCAAAACGCCTGTACAATTAAACAAACGTATGATGAACCTTTACTTTCATGGAACAAAGCGTCAAATGGGGCGGGGAAGGTAGGATGTCATGCAACGATGTAACGGGTTATGCAGCGTAATAAGGTGTAGGGATATGTGAAATTTGTAGCAACTATTACCTCGAATACGGGATTGTTTGATGATCTAGATAGCTCCCTGAACTCTAGTTGTATGGTGGTGGCCTCAGCGGTGGTGCTGTAGTGAGCCCACTCAGGAGCGTGAGCCGTCCGGGAGCCGAGGTTCACGTCCGAGTAAGGGATCCCGGACGGAGACGAGAACGCTGACATCAGACGCTCACCGAGATCCTTCTGTAATAACAATATCATTTATCCATTAAAAAAATAGTAAATCATCCGACCCCATACTAAATGGAAATTCATATTTTAATAGCTTATAACTACAAACTGTACGTGTTTCTCATTTCGTCAATAACAAAAATGTATATTAATATAATTAATTTCAACATACATTTTTTTTAAATTAAAATGGTTCAGTTCTCTTTCAAAATTTGTAAATCCTATAAGTGTATTATGATTTTTCTGGGTTCATAGGCATTAAACTGATAATCGATACCAAAATTTATATAACTAGTTTCATACCGCTTTATTTAAAAACATTTTATCTTCTGTAAAGTGATAATTAGTTAATAGAGCACCCAGCACCCTAATGGTCACTTCAAAGAAATTAACGTCCTTCTGTTTTGTGAATATCAGCTCGTTATTAATCCACTCCTTGCCTTCTTGGAATTCTGTAAAGAGAACAGTATTAGTATAATGTATAATGACTTTGCCAAATATTTACAAACACACCTTCATTAAGTCCCATTATGTAAGCCGTGTCTAATCCATCTACTATGGTCAGACCCAGTGAAAACCAATCAAACGCCATGCCGGAGACTGGTTTTAAGTTGTCATGACCCCAAGCGTGTTCCTTATAGCCTTTCCATGCGTGCTTGAATGATTCAACTACTGCATACTGACGAGCGTTACCCGGACCTAAAGTTAATTATATTGGTGCAAAAAAGTTAAGGATAAATTATTATGCTCGCAATTACTATAGCTACTGCTGATTCCGGTAGTATAAATTAAATAAAAAATATTAATTTAAATTGCTGGCTGCGTATAAAGTGGTTTATTAGATCGATTGGTAACAATATCGATGTCTAGTATTTTTTTATTCGAATGATTTAATTATGCCAGTTTGTAACATAAGGTCGCATTGGTATATTACCTGTGAATAATGGCTTTTGTATAATCTCACTGTCGATATTAATTTTTTTCAGAGGCTCCGCATTTGGTGGAGGATCGGTTACAAGTGATGAAGCGTTTGACAACTCCTGCAATTTATGTTTATACCAAAATGAACATACTGTTCACCTTATATAAAAGATATTATTGTTACACTAACATGGAGAAATTTAAGAAAATACGGAAGAAGACTCGTTATTAGTGGAGATAAGATGATACATACCGACGCAAAATGTTTATGTATACGAATAGATTATTTTTTTATCAAATTTCACGAGCCTGTAAATGTAAAGACTTATTGGCTTTATGATAAAATTTTAAAGCTAAGATGACATTTTTTGTAATATTATTTTGTAATATTTATTTATTTGCAAGGTCATAATACTTCACGCACACGTGGCCGTCGATAATAGAATGCTAGACCAATTGAAGCGACGTTTCACAAAAAATTCGACGTTTAAAACATAGTGAAAAGTTAATATGTAGTCGTGCCGAATATTGTTATCGTTGACCTACGAGATACTGGGTCATATGTTTTTATGCGTGAGGATTTCAAAATTAGAATTTAACGGATGAGAGTTATCTAAATGAATCAACTATTGGGAAAGATTAAATCAATACATTTTGTATTGGGAATTAATTTTATTTTGTGAATATAACTTTATTCGATAAAAAATAATTTAATCACGTTGTTTAAGCTTGAGCTGCTCAATGAGCGTTAATGCTTTACATTGGAAAAACATTTTATTTTATCTAGTTTTTCATAATATCTTCCTAGCAACCCGCGTAAAACATATCTTTGAATTCTTAATTCTATATAAAATTGTTTCTAATAAGTATTGAATTTTTCCTTGGATGATTGTGTGTAGGTGCAAATAAATGCGAAGTGGACATTTTTTTAAAGAATAAGTCAGCTAGCGTTGCTGAATATGAGCTACACGATGACGAAACCATTTGTCACTTTACATTATTTCATTAAATGAGTCTAAATAAGATTCATAACTCTCTCGAAGAGTTTCTAACTCCCTCTGGGACTAAATCATGTTTTATTCTGATGTAAAATATTATTGTACTAAGAAACGTCATTTCATATTGTTAATTATTTTTTTCTAAACGTTAATTTAAGTAAGGACAACTATATTATTTCCCTTTCTTTTTGGTAATGTTTCTTGTATCTAAACTTTTTCATAAAAATGACACCTTAATTTAGGAAATTAACAAAAGTTATCACTTACCTTTTCTACTGTAAGTTTTTCTCTATTTATTACTTGAGACGTTTTTGAGGTACATAATAATACAACTATGGTAATTAGAATCAATATAACCACGTATACTAGGGACCTCTGCAATCTGGAAAGTTGATTCCATCTCTGAAATAATATTATATATTATTTGACGGGTATGAAAACCCTTAAAAAACTAAAGCTAATTAATTTTATAATATTTAATATACAAACACATAAACGACACTCGCACCCCATTATAATATTAGATGAAGCTACTGAATATACCCAAACTAAACACTGACTCGCAGAAGAATAATACAAATGTACAGATTACGTCATACTAACTATGATAACATACGTATGTAGTACGATCATGAAACAAATTAACTAATTTACTTTTATAGGGGCATTGTTTATCGTTAAAGAGTAAAAAAATAAGTGAGCTAGTAGGAAACAGACAGAAAACATAAAGCGGATTGTCTTGTTGGTCAAAATGAGGATAATTAAGAAGAAAGAGAAGGTATTTATGCTATTAATTCTTTTACTACTCGAGAGTTACAAAAGTTTGAGAGTTATTATTACGAACAATACTTGTGGGGGAGTGGGGTTAGGCGTGTTCTCACAGCTAGATCCGCAACAAATATAATATATTGTTAACATTTTTTTTTAAGACCCCCTAAGATAAAAAAAGAAATCTTATCTTTAACCAAATTATTTTTATTAATAGTATTATAAAAAAACATTTAAAGCTGACAGTAAAACAGAAGACATTTTTATACTTTGCATTGTATTGAAAAAGCAAGGAACACGGAAAGGAATTATCAAAATTTGTTACAAAGATGGATTGCATGATAAGAACATTGTTGAGATAGTCATTTTTCTCTCAGTGACATCAAATCAAATAGTGTTTGCACAAAAATTTTATAAACTCAGTTATTTAAATAAATGTACAGTTTAATATGCAACTTAACAAACAGAACCTTGATCAAGAAATAAAATCAAAAGCTTTCTGAGCTTTGATCTTTGTAACTTGAAGTCCATTTGAATTAGGTTATTTCAAATCTCAAATCATTTTTTAAATGACAATTACCTAAATTTTAGCATAAGGTTCTAGATACGTAACACATATTTGTAAATAATTTTCACATAACATAAAAAATATGTATTTCTAACAAAAGTCTGTAATTAAAAATTCATACTAGTAAAACTTACCCTAACTATTTTCCTATGTGAAATCAAGTGTTCGGAATGTTTTAAGGAGCCATCAGATCCATTCCAGGAATTTTGTTGACCTCCTAGGTCTATCCTTGTATCTAAGCTAGCCATGTCACTTCTTTAATTGTCCATTTTAATACCTGAAATAAATGAATAAGTACATATTATGTTTCCTTATCCTATAAGATATATCAAAAATAAAATACATAGAGGAAATCAAACTCATAACTGGAGGTAGACCACTGAAGAGAACAAAGATTCTAAAAGATAAAATCTGTTTTATCTGTCTCAAACAAGTGATCTAACAGTCTACAACAGTAAGAAAATTGATTCATATTACAAAAAAATCTATGATTGAATTTACATATATTTATCATTTATTGAACTTTACAACTTAATTACATTGAAGACCTATTAACTTCGGTATTCGATATTGAGAAAATGAAGATCAAAACTAAAAATTTACAGATAATGTTTTTATAATTATAGAACAAGAATTTAAACATAATTTTTTAGAATCCTATCAAAGGAGAACATACAAAATTAGAAACGCTGTGACCATCTAACAGACTAACAGTAACCACTATATTGTTTTATTATTCTTCTTTGTTGTTTTATCAAACAAATGGCTATACAAAACCAGCCAAAATTTTGATACCACTTGTAGATAATTTTGGTCTGACAAAATTTTTCTATAGTGCATATAATAATATAATACAAAATCCTACATTTTCCATTCTTATTAAAGATTTTTTTAAAGTCATTCTTTCGATATATTTTTAAATATAATGTCTTATCAAGGTGTATTGTTTTAAATCATTAATAAAGCATTTAGCAAGAACCATATGTAGAGTTTCTGTAGTATTTGTATGTTTTTATAGTTTTGTTTAATGTTGAAAGAATTTCAAGGTTTTTATAGACAGTTTTCCTCAAATATATTTGCTACTTGACTTTTCATTGAATAACATTTTGATGCATTAGTTATTTTGAACTTGTTTTTGTTACAGTGAAGGTAAAATGTTTAAAAAGAGAAACGTGCTTGAAATTTTCAGTAAAATTTATTCTATCATAGTTGTTTTACATGACAAAGGGAAATCTGAATGGTCACTATATTGAAGTTTTGGAAGCCTTGATCATAACACAATAACCAAACACAAAGAGAGTACCAATAACCCAGTTTGAAGGGCTGCTACATGTATTAAGGATATTTTATTGTTGTCTTCAGCTATCTGTATATCAACACCAGATTACCACACTAATATGGATAAATCACATTCTTAATCTGTATCATTAATTACAGTAAAAGGATTATTAGGCAAATCAAAAACCACTTACAGCCACTAATAAAAAAAAAATTCAAGTGGCTTTTCATGGTGAGACCGCACTGCAAATCTCTATAAAATAATGATTTTGTATATTTGAAAAACAATTCTAATAATTATATTATAGTGAAATAAGTAATAAAATATAAAGGACGAGTTTTAGATGAGTCTGATTACTTCTTAAGGTTATAAATAGGTATATAAAAGTAATGATAAACCTATTGCAGGTCTTTTTTGGTTTATTTTGTTTTCTATTTTGATGTAGGTAACCCTATGATCTTAGCCGGTAGTGAATTTTGTTAAATAAAATGGTATTTGTGGCTACTATTATCATCTGTATTGGTAGTGAGAAAACTGCATGTTGAGTTAAATAAGTTATTCAATATTTTCGCCATAATTATGGACCAGCTAATAACAATATATGAAATATGTTATTTAATTAATGTTTTTCACAATAAATAAAGAACCAGATCTTTTAACGCAGAAATAATGCGGCAATGTAAAGTTGATATCTTATTAAGAAATGGTTGACTATTAAAAAAGTAGTATTTGTTTTGTAAATAAAATTCACATTCACATTATAGTTTTGTAAATAAAAACCAAGTAAACCAAGTAACAACTACCATTGAAATCACATTTGTACTAGAATATACCAAAGCAGTTATAGAAATATAAATTAGTAATAGACTTAACTAATTTTCATGATGACACACCCTAAAGGTTATATTCAATATAAGTACATCTCTGTTTAGCATTTTATATGAAGCTAATAAAAACATATAGGTTAAGTAAAATCCGTATTGTAAATAAATATCTATTACTTACTGTAAAGTAATTATTTTCGAATTACAGTCTTGCTTTTGGATGCCAAAAATTAAATATCTCCACGTCTACAATAGAAAAACTGCATCGTACATGAATTTACTATTTTGAAGGAAAACTGATACAAATATTTTATTTTTAAATTATTGTTATACACTTTGATAGATTTTTAATATATTTAATCATGTTATGGCACTTACATTTTAATAAAAGTTTAAAAAATTTGTTACCGTGTAATAATTTACATTTTCAATACCACATATCATGAAAACTAGTGTTGTGATCTTGCGATTGACTTTTTGTGGTTACCGAACTTTGGTGATGGTCCAATTTGTAGTGAAATATAATAACAACTAGCAACACTAATCATAAAGGTATTAACTATACAAAAAAAGGTATTTAATTAGTAATAGTTTCAGACTTACGTTTTATAACATTTCAGTAAGATACGAAATAAACTTCTTGATAGATAATAAAAAATATTGTAGATTATTTTTACTAATATTAAAAAGATTATGCTACCATTATTAAAAAATTATAAAAATATTAATTGTAATTTAATAAATTTCTGAAAATATTCAAAATGACATTTTGTAAGAGAAGTACCACTATATGTATGAAAACGTACAAAATTATGAGAGTTTAATGAAAAAGAGGCAATTCCTATAACAGCTACTGTAATTTTATTAAATGATAGTTAACACTTATTATGGCGGATTTAATGATGCAGGCTGAGTCCTTGTCTACCAAAGAACGCTGAAAAGTTTTGTCCAGCTGTTGACGTAATAATCAATTTTAATAAAACTGCACTTCTCCTCACGACCACCCATCCAAACGGCCGCAGTGAGCTACACATACGACCGGATTTATGCTTAGAATTGGAAAAATGTTACCTTGGTATAAAGCTAGTAGGCTACTACCATATTTTTGTAAGGACATAAAGTTTTAATACAGCCCGCAATTCTTAATCTTAATTAATAGTTCTATGTATTTCAGGAAAAAAATAATTAAACCTGGACTACATGAGAACCTTTTTATTAGTAATACGGATATCTGTCCTTAGGGGGTATGAGATTTTTGGAAAAAGGTGGAGCAAACTATGTCATATTCTCTTTTGCTATATAAGTTAATATCCTAAAAGAAAGGGTAGCGAGTACTAATAAAAGATTGTTTCAACCGGTTTGGCTCTGGTCTTGGAAACTCTATCACCTACAAGAATATTCAGCAGAAAATTTCGTTGTATAATGGTACATACTTACCCTACGCTTGAGATTAGAGTAATGTAATATTGTCTTGGTTGGTTTGGTCAAAGGGTTTCTTTTTAGTGTTAACTTTGATCGGTTTCAAAAGATTTAGAAATAACGCAAAATTCCGAATTTCTCTTTTAACATAATTATTAAGACACATACTTTCATCGGTAACACGTCTTTATAGAATACATAATTTGCTTCTACAAAAGTAAAAGTAAATTATTAATCACTAGATGGTTAAAAACCGCGAAGAGTTAAAATTATTTATCTTTATCATGAGAGTCTGACGATTATAACTTATAAGGTACCTAAGATCTGAATGACAGCATGTAAAGACTACGTTAAGATTTGAGGTAGCCTCCAACCTTACCTTTTGTCGGTTAAGATTCCGACTGTAAAGAAATTTCGTGTTCTTGTAAAAGTACTGCAATAATTTAGACCTGAACAATTTTTTTTTTCAACAAAGCACAGAGACCGTGAGTGATTTTGCTATTATCTTTGGACACGTACCTACTCTTCATTTAACTTTGGTTGTCACCGAAAGCTTCTACCAAATGAACATAAGTCAAAATAAAAAAATCGGTTGACCAATTTAAAGTCTGTTAAGACGTTGAATTTTAAAAAAATGTGAATAATAGTTTTAAAGTGTTAAGCTTAATTGGCCATCACACCTTTGACGTATGGAAATTTGAGAAAAAATAATAATTGACACAATTAATACATGTCTAATAGATCATGATTAGTATAATCCTTGATTATATATTTTCTATTTTTAACTGTTTAACGCTTTTGATATTTATAAATATATCGATATAAGCTTCAGAAGCTATTTGTAAATTTAAATTGTTTGGTTTTTATTAAATCGATGCCGAAATCAGGATATTGGCCGTATCAAAATAATTATGCAGATAACAATTTAACTGGCGAATCGTCAATATTAGTAAGTGTTTACTATGAGTTTTGCGTACCAAGAAAAATTTTACTATTGATTGAACTGCTTATTTTTCTATGCCTTTAATAAACATATAACTATGAAATTAATTAATCGGATGATTCGGAATCGGATTTAGTAAATTGCTTAGAAATTATATCAATTTTGCTCTTATTATATGTCTATTATAGGTACATACTTCAAAGTAAATGTTGTAATTATGATTATTGAAACTTAGATAGTTAACAATATTCATGTTTTCATATATTAGCAAAAGCAGGTGGGCGAAATGGAAGGTGAGGTCAAAGAAATTCAAATGGAACTCGCTGCTATAAAAAGAGATCGAATGTATCTCACAAATCGCAACAAAATATGTGGGATGGTATATTTATTTTGAGAGTAATATAACAGTCATACAATAAATATAATAAAAATGTAAATAATTATTTTTACATAGGACGCGGAAGAAACTATTGAGGATTCCTCTATTTACAAAAACTTGATACAAAGGCCTCAAGATAACTTAGATTTTGCTATAATCCCGCAAGTAATCAAATAATTTATTTATCTATAGATTGATTTCATATTAGTAAAAAAAATAATTTCAAACTTAAAATTAATCCAAATTGTTTCAATCCTTAAGAAATAGGTACAGATATTCCTGCAGTATGATATTTTATTATTGACAATTTACTCTTAATGTGTAGCTTCGAGAAGAGTTGATACGAGCTAAAAATACAGCTGATGAAGAGAGATTTCAAAAAGAGAAATATGAGCAAAAATTGAAGGATTTAGAAGGAAAGCTAAATAGTATATGCAATGTTGGAACGCTGGAAATAAAGGTATAGGGTATAGGCTTCTGAACAATATTAATGCGTTAGTATGTTAGTATTTTCTCGGATGATAGTAAAAAAATTATTATTAGCATTGAAAACATCATTAATATAATAAGAAGCAAAACCTAAAATAGGGATCAAATGGTTGAATCTTAGAATTTAAAAAGTTATAAAGAATCGTGTCGTATTGTGTACTTTATCTAAAAAAATCCTTCCTTATTGCTACTGCATTTTTAGTAGTTAAGCCTCAATTCTAGATTAGTATAGCACCGAAACTGCCTCTAATCTGGTCCAACTACTTTATAGTGAACGTTTATAATAGCTGTTCTCTCAGTATGAATTACAATTTAAACATCTACGTTTAGAACGATATCGGGATGTAAACATTAATTTTTAGGTGGTAGAGCCTAGCTGTGGTTAGTTACTACAGCTCGAACACGGGCTGGCTCGACCGGGGAAGTACCACCCTCTCACAGAAGATCGGCGTGAAGTAGCCTTTAATGGCTGCGTTTCGTCCGATGAGTGAGAGAGCCGGTTGCCCTTTCCCTATTCCCACCCTTTCCTACAATATCCTTATTCCCACCCCTCCCTATCCCTATAAAACAAGGTTGGCAACGCATCCGCAACATCTTTGTTGCGGATGTCAATGGGCGACGGTAACCACCTTCCATCAAGTGGGCCGTCTGCTCGTTTGCCACCTTTAACATAAAAAAAAATAAAAAAAAATTAAGTATTACACTAATAGATCGAAGACTTATTAGTGAGCAGATCTAAGAACTGGTCTCATAAGAAATAAAAAAAAACGAAATATTATTTAATTGTCAATAATTTTTTTCTCACCTCTCGTATCTCTTTAAGAGCCCTACTACTTTTATTTTCTTTTTTTATATATGAAAATGTCTTTTATAGATGAAAAGATTTAAGTCTGGAACTTTAGTTAGGTAGGCTCTCATTAAATTCCTTATTTTTAATTAAATAACTAGAATAATCTATAAACTCCATGCCTATTTACTTATATTACTATGAAAGCTAACTAATTATAATTATTTGCGTGTATTATTCAAACGATTGTTTATAGGTAATTAAGTATGCTTTGTTTATTGTTTTTATTAATAGGAATCTCGGAAATTTCCTACCGAGGATGTAACTTCTCTCAAGAAACAGATAAGAGATTTGACGGAAGATATAGAGGATTTAAAGCAATCACTCAATGAGAAAACCGAACAGACTCAAGAATATCGGGTTAAGGTAAATCAGATAATATACTGAGTTTTATGCCTATAATAAGCATAAATAATTGTGTATATTATACAGTTATGATATACCACTTCATAGAACTATTGTTGTATGAAATGTGGGAGTTTTTAACGCATGTATGCTTAAAAGAGTGATTGAATAAATGAACCGAATTGTAAATAATACAATGCAGTCACTTATGAGTCATCGACTGTAATCAACCGTAATGAAATATCGATAGCGACTATCAAACTTTTTTACATATCTTTTGTATTTCATATTTCAGATATATATTCGTATATATAAGTATATTTGTACATATACATATATATATATATATATATATATATATATATATATATATATATATATATATCCATATATGTACGTATACGTGTGTATCTTAGAAAGACAAAAAAAAAACAGAAAATTGTAAGATAAGGTAGAGTTTTTACAATTGCTGTAGTCACAAACAGGTTTTAGAATACCATAAATATTAATGTTAATTTATAAACTATACTGTTAATTTATAAACATAAACCTCAATCATTCCAATTCAGTACAAAATTACATATTCATTTGTCAAGAAACTATATTCTTAACATGTATTTATACATGTACCCAATTTAATAACATTAGTAGTCATACCGGGAGAAGAAAAATAAACATTTTGATATGAAACTAACCTGTTTTTATAGATACATTCATGTTTCAGGTTATTATAATATAAATTAACTTATAATATTAAAAATAAAGTACTTCAACTTTTCGTACAATATAAACAAAGCTCTTTGTGAAAATAAATTTGAATTAGAAGTTTTTCAGCATTTCAAATTTATTTTTTTGAATTTGTCTTACTAAATTTCTTTGAGTATTCTCATTGCTTGTATTGAATATTTATAAAGAATATCAATAACTGGAATTAATAGCACAATAAATTTTTCTATAGTATCTCCAAGCACAGCAGCAAGTGGAAGAACTGCGCCGACAAATTGATGTTATAGAATACGATAATAAGCAGGTTTCAGACCAAATACAAATAGAAATCCAAAAAATGAAGGTGATTATATTTTTTTTAGCAACACTGTTCGTCAAACACAAAATGTAGAAAACAAATAAAACAAGCTTGTGTAGTAAAATCAGGACATTGGTAAATTTAAAATTGTTCATCCTCTTTTGTTTGAACAGTTTACTAGAACCATTTAAATATTACATGGCCTTAATAGTCTATGATTGTTTTCTTATCTTACCTCATTATTTTTTTTAATACTTATAGATGCAATTTCAAGAAAAGCTTCAAGAACTCGCTCCCTTGCCGGATCTCCTGAAAGGAGCACAAATCCAACTGCAAGAAGCAAAGCAACTTCAAAAACTAGCCGAAGACAGCTCGGAGCAGCTTTCTAGTGAACTGCATAGAGTTAAAGAGAAGGTCCCTTGAATATAATATATTTAGCTTTTTGTATGTTTTTACATTAGAAGACTTTTAAAGACATACTAATAAAATATTTGGTTGCCGAGTATTGATACAAGTTCAAATTACTTAAGTGACATAATTTTCAGCTTGTTGTAGCAGTTAATAATTTAAACATAGAAAAAGCGGAAAAAAGTCAATTGGCTGATGATTGTAAGGTACTTAAAGAGGAAACCGAGGTTAAAAGAAAGGAAATTGAAGAATTGTTGAGGAGCGTAGATGATTACAAGTGAGAATAGTAATGTAAACTTTCAGCTCCAAATGTTAACAAGTGCATAAAAATTTATCTTTTAAATTATTAAAATATCAAAAACAAACTATTTTAATAAGGACCCATAAATTATAAATAATATGGACTGTTAAATTATACTTTAGATGTCAAGTGCTCAGACTAGGAGAAAAGTTAACCCTATTAGATGAAAGATATAAGGATAAGTCTCTCGAATGCACGCAGTTGTTGAAAGATCTCGACGAATTAAGAGTCGAAAGTAACAGGAGTCTTACAAGAAGTAAAGAAAGATCTGACTCTATGCGAAGATATATGCAGACACAAATTTCGGAAATGGAAAGACAGTTAATACAGAGTAGAGCACAGAGCAGATTATTTCAAAAGGAGAGAGATGACGTTAGTACAGTGTTGTATTTCAATTTTGTATCTATTATTATTCTTAAAATATCCGAAGGGGTTTTTTTTTGTTCATCTTGCTTTGATTTATAATTCATTTAAAAAAACTATAATATAAGGTTAATAAAATTATGCCATAAATTAACAAAAGGTCTGGTTGGATCGTGATCAATTAATCTTTATAAGCGATTTTATATAGCGATTATATTCCATTAGCATTTTAAAAGGAATACAACAAATGTTAAAATATTCTTTACAAAATGAAAGGGATCAAATTAAGTTTTATCTAGATTTTGCATTAAAGTTATGGTTAAAATATTTTCAGGTACGTCAAAGAATGCAAATACAGATAAATAATCTACGAGAGAACTTTGAGCTTGTCGAAATAAGAATGCGTGCGCTTTACGGGCAAGTGACATCTTTGAAAAACACCTATTCTGTCATTCTGACAGACGAGGACGATAATTGCGAGTTCACTAAAATCTCCACAACATAATTGAATCATTCATAATCATTACATTATAGTTTGAAATAAACTTCTTTGTTTGATATATTCGTCTTATAGTTGTATTTATTTGTTTTTTTATTATTATTCATTCCAAGGTTATATCGACATTTAAAGTAGGTATCGTTCATATTCGAATCCATTTTAATAGCAATGAGTTAAATGAAAATTGTTTTGTTTGGCTTTGTACTCCCGATTTGAAGTAGATGGACATAACAAAAAATAAATTTCATGACATTCTATTGATAGATATCGAACTACGTACTTATATGATTAAAAAAATCGACTTCAATCTGAGAAATTGTTTTATTTACCTATCTCAAAGTTTAAAAGTATATTAAATATCATAAAATCTTGATTGGTTTAGAAGAACGTTATAGTATTGTATTATTTATTCATCAAACTAAGTACTGCGTCCGACCAAAATTAATTAGAAACAAATTTCAGAAAAGAGATTTACAGAGTTTCAGAGTATCGATTATAAAAGAACGATAATAAATACGCAAGGATAGAAATTATCCGAACATTCAAAATATTATAAATTATAAAATATATATATACATCAAGCCCAACTGAGCAATCCTAGAAAACTATTTTTTTTCTAGATGGTCTCTCTTTCTCTCTCTCTTTGTTTGTGAATATTCTTAGACTATAACTATAAGGTATCATTATAGTAAATTTCGTGTAAGCCGCAATTTCAAAAAATTACGCCTTGAATTTTGGAATTCACTCATAAGATTGTGGCTTTCGGCTCGTTATAAAATTTAAAATACTCCTAAAATACTAAAATGATAAATTTTTACTTGGTCTTTTTTATTTATAAATGATAGATGCGATATCACAAATAATGCAGTCAAAAATCTCACTCTTATGACTTTTTTAAATCCTTAATAATTTTTAAATTCACTATTTATCTTTAAAACTATATTAAACTTTAAAAATAAACTACATAAATGAGCAGGTAGAAGTATATTCCTTACCATAAATAAACGAAATATTTAAAATAATTTAAAGGAATCTAGATCAAAATATTAAAGGACAATAATCATTTGTATCTCGTTAAATAATTATATAATATTAATACACACAGACGAAGAATTTTATGACAGACATTACCGATAAAAAAAATCTTTTTTTCAATGTCAGTTTTAAATGAATATTTTTGTGTAGCACCCACAGCTTCATTAAACGTTATATTAACATTTCACAAAATGTTATGATACATAGTTTAATTTTTTCTAGTTTTATGGTGTACCGAGTGTCGATACGTTATTATCACAGTAAAAGAAATATAATTTAGATAAAAATGTCATTTTTACATTATCTATGTAACAGTTGTTTATTGCTTTTTCAGTTAGTTGATTTTAATTCTTCTTCTAAAAAGCAAAAAAATCATTTTCGTCATAAAACTAAAAGAGATTAGTTAAATTGTACCCAAAAAAGCTTGCATTTGAAAATAAATGTAATATTTACTTTATGGATTAGTAAAATCTCCTATACAAATAGAAAATTGATTATTTTTGTTTATGTATTGAAAGAAAAATTGGCTTAAGGTACTTTTTACATCATTCGTTGAAATGAAGTTACGTCAGATCTTTAAAGGTCCGTCAGATTCTTCATATGCAACACTATAAAGTAAAAACTCCTTTTATCAGGAAACCAATAGGTGTTCACTTATTAGTTCATGCCAAGAATGCTTATAATATTTAATATCATAAAAATTCCAATAGTTAAAATTAAATACAGTCTTTATCTGTAAGTTCTATATGTTTGTCTCGGGTTAAGCTAGATGTTTTTTTTTTGTGAAAAAAAAATAATTATAGTCTGAGTTCAAGGCATTTTTGTGGATTAGTTCTATAATTATGATGTCACTAACAGTTTGTTTTAAAAATGGTCCTGTCACTATGTAAACATAAACTAATTTTTATTTTTTTAATCTAATTTATAAAACAACGTGAAGGTTAAAAGAAAAAGTTTGGGGGAGACTACTTTCATCCTTTCTTCCAAGGTTATACAAAGAAAGAAAAGCATGCTCATGCATTTAATATTTAAACTGTTACTTTGTACCGGGCATCACAACTATCTTTATTCAAAGCATATGATACTTTTGATCAATCCAACATCGTTGCCCTTGCAAGGTTTGAGGCCGTACCTCTCATTTGTTTACTTTATAATTTTTTCAAGTATTTTTTTTTCATTTTTGGGTGTTTTACATGCGATATCGGCTAACTACTCAAAACCAGTTCTTGGTGTGCATGTTTTTTACTAACAAATGTTCTTCGTACAAATGTTCTTTGTTTTTGCGGATAAATAAAGGTGCTTTTTGCAGCCTCTCTAGATGGTTCTAATTACCGTAATTACATAAGGAAGTGCCTTGTAGCTACATTCTTATAAAAAAGCGTATTTGTTTTAAGTATTATTAATTTACAAATTTACCTTACCTGAAATAATAAATAAATATGATAGCTGTGGAGACTTTTTAAATTATGATTGGAGACGTAAAAATAGGTCTCACGGGAGCTAAATCTTATTACGGGTACTCCGGGCCCGACTTGACAAGATTGCTACACAATTTTCTTTTTCATTTTAAATTGCTTTTAAGAGATTCTACTCTGGTTGGTTTTATAAGAAACTCTTGAAGCTCTAAGTAATTTTTGCAAAAAATGATAGTAATATAAAAAGAATAAGGTCTAATGAACTTAAGAGCTAAGTTGTATTTAAAAATAAATTTGTATTTGAAAATATAGTATAGAATTTTACAGAATTTTCAGATCGTTTATTATTTACTTGTTGATACAGTCGCCAACCTTGCGACTTAAGGTTTTTACATTTTATTTATGATATCTATGACTTATTGAACACTTCTCAGATCTCGGATTATTTTAACTGTCGTATGAAAGTTTAATACTGATTTTTTTTTGACTTTCATATACCTAGCTGCTAATATAAAATAAGGTTTCAATTTTTTTTGTAACTAATCAAATTTATTTACTCGTATTTCATGAATCTCCTAGTAAGAAATTGGTAAAATATGCATTATTATTTTGTGTAGTTTCAACAGAAACACTTATTTGTTTGTCTCTTTTGACGAATGTTTTTTCATACTTACAACTATGTATTTGATAGAAGTATCAATTTTTAAATTTTAAATAGTTGCTTTGTTAAGGTTCTCAAACCTATAAACGTTGTAGAAAGAACCTTTCTATGAGTGGCAATATTAATTTCCTAAGAAACAACTGGTGTAACAAATAAAACAAAGTACATATATCCATTCAAACACATATTTATTGTTTGATTTTTTTTATATTTTTTGGTGCTCCAATTTTTAATCATTTGTGTTTATCATTAAATTATAAATTAATACTAATATAATATCAAGGAATCGCGAACGGGCAAAGCCTCCCTAAATGGGCAATCAGGAGCTCTACGCTCGTGTCGAGATCCGGGCAATGAGCTTGGCAATAAATAATAATGTAAAAAAGGAATTCAAAGAAGTACCATCCGATGGTTTCCACACTCACTCTCCATACAACACTTAATTCTATAATATCACTAGCTATACAAAGCGGTTGAACCGCGAGCTCTGGTCTATTAGAAGAGGGGGATCCGATTTACTCAAAGGATGAATCCTTAAGTTTCTTGATAGCATTAGTGAGGTGGAGCATCTCGGTATTCAATTGCCATATGAGTGTTTCGAGTTTGTCCACGGAGTCGAGGATTTCCACGCGCTCTGTGTGTGGGTTGAAACGCACTTCGAATGGTCTTGACATAGTTGATACCCAGCGTCTGTGTACAAAATGTTTTTTATGCTAATTTTATTTCACTTCGGGAAAATATCACAAATATGTATATGATATTATTAAATATTATTTTAAGCAGTGATGAAAATTTATGGTTTTATGTTACCTGAATTTATCTTTTGCATCCTCAAAGCTTTCAGCCACGTAATAAATTGGTTGGTATTCTTGGTCTTGGTAAGGTTGAATGGACGTAGAAGATGGTTCGAAGGGTCGCAGTTCAGGCTTGTCACTTAAAGCATGAAGCAGTTCTCCGATAGACGAAAGGAGAGCTGCTCCATATGCCTTCAGTTGTTGATTCTCCTTACAAAGACCGAATTCGACCGTGAACCAGTAAACCTAAACAAATGAAAGAGATTAGAAAAATGCAATTTATTTGCATTGTGTAAGGGAAAATATGAAAATTAATCGTCGTAGTTATTAACATGTCAAACATACCGTAGATAGCTTTTCGATTTCGGAATCAGAAGCGCCGAGTGAAGCAAGACCAATTTCTTGTGAAAACTGAGCAAAGCTTGGGTCAGCTAGAAGTGGAATATGTCCCAATAGTTCATGAATACAGTCCCTGTAAAGTTTTAAATAGTCGTGTTAGCACACAACATTATTCCTACATTATTTCATGATACTTTAGATAATAATAATCTACATTGCATTAGATTTTTCATAATTTCAGGGACAGTCATGGCCCACTTAACTAAAACCTAAAGACTTTATCGTGGTTGCACTAAAGGCAGTTAATTTAATGAAAGCAGCTTTTGATATAGCTTCAACGTCGCAAATAGAATTAAATTCCACTCGACCGTGATAACATAGTTAAGATTCCATTTTCATAGTTGGTCCCGTCTGAACTACATTAAAGATTTTATTTATATAATATGATATTCATTAAAAAATAAAACCTATACATAATATTACGTGAATAGCGTAAAAGCAGAAAAAATCTTTTGTTTGGTAGAATTACTATCTAAACCAGTAGAATGTTGTCTGCGTAATTTAATATTACTTATTGTTTCTTTTTCATAAAATATATCAAGGTTAATAATATAACAATGTTTTATATTTTTAAAGTTTATAAATATGTAATGTAGAATATAATTGTTAAGGTCATTTAACAAGGATATTTCAATTTTGTTTCCGTGTAAAATACCTCTATACTAACATAAAAGTTTATAAACAAACCGATTAAACCGATAAAACCGATAAGTTTATAAACAAACCGATAAAACCGATTAGTGATTAATAATAGTGGTATTCGTTGTCCTATCTCTAATGAATATAGATAGCTATAGATTTAAATAAAAGTATATGAAGTGAAAGAAAAATAAAACTTGACTTTAAATAAAAATTAAAATTTTTGTCTTGGCATCATTTTCAGCTTTAAAATGGCCATGGTATTAAAAACATAAGACTAAAATTGTACTTACGGTTCAGGAGTGTGGAAGGGTGAGTTTGCATGGCGCACGTATTGCGTCGATTGGAATACACGAAAAGCGAGAGAAGCCAAGAAGTCACGAGCTGTAAGTAAGCCTGCAGCTGGGCGCAGAGTGAAACCAGTATGCTTGCGGAGGAAGTTGCTTACATCCTCTAACTGGGGAATGCGGTGTGGCACGAATATTTCGGCAGCTTGCAATTTGCCAAAAGCTGCCTTATATTCACGGCATGCATGTTTTGGCATCAAATCCAGTACAGTGTTGAATACTCGTTGCCAAGTAGCATTCTCGGTTTCAGTGTAAGTAATTGCTGGGAATGGATCACCATACTTGTATGCAAAAGCGACTGCAGCAATTTGCTTCCTACGTTCTCTGTATTCCTTGTCAGCGAATCCCGGGTGATTCATATCAAGCTCTGGTTCATATTTGGTCATAAGATGGTTACAGTTGTCAAGATCGGAAGCATGACGAGGGAACCATGGAGTTTTGTTTGAAATATTATCCGAAAGCAAATTTACACCGGCAAATGAGGTTGATTGACGGAGTGCCCGGATAAGCTGGAGCAGGTTGATGCGGGTCATGCTGACCTTTACGAGAGCATCAAATTGGACTCCTGATATTTGGGAGGGCCGAGTTTCAAGATGTTCAACACAACCTTTATAGTTATCAATTGTTTTAAGAATGCGAGCAAGAGAGCCCATCCCATCTCGCATACGTAGAAGTAAAGCTGCTTTTTGAATCACCTGTTCTGCTTCAGGGCTTTCACTTGCAGCATTTTGTAAAATAACTTCCTCTTCAGTAAGAGTGTAATCTAAAAGAAACATTTTAGTGTTTTAACATCTTATGTTTATATAAAACTCTTGCAATATTCAATGATGTGTATTTAAAATAGGCTTATCTATTTAGTTATATAAAACATAGTTGATACAAACCTTCATCTGATTTTGTACCAGTCTCGCTATCTCCATCTAGATCATAAATTAAAAAATAACGCAATAAATAAAATAAAAAGATACATAAACAACTCAATTTAACAAAATAAAAAGAAATTACCAAGGTGACCGTTTTTACAGTCTTCGTTTTGGACACCTTCGGTCTTCTCGGCATCATCAATTTGAGAGACATCTTGGATGAATTCGGAATCCAAACCAGAGTCTAATTTAAATTAAATAAAACTCAATTAAATAAATAAAATAAAAATAAAAATAACAGTTTTTAATAATACCATGCTTATTAATTTTACCATTAGCACGGGCACGAGCTTCTTCAAGTACACTTTGTTTGGTCTGTTTGACTACCAGGGTTTCGAAACGGGCATCGTCTACCAGTGAACGACGGCGGGATGGATAGCCGTTCTATAAAAAAACAGCATTTCTTAGTTATTACTTTTTACAACAACAGTTGATTATGGAAAAAAAGCTTTTATGAAAAATTATCTTTAATTAAACCTTGTGACCAGTAAATACATTAGCTAAAATATTCCCGAAGTTAATCAATAAAAACATTTGTAAATAAATTAAAATCCTATTTCGTGGAGTAAAAATTAGTAGATGTTCAAAATCCTTATGAATGTAAAGCGGTCATAAGGCATTATATTTCATGTGGAAGTAGGAATTGCTTTTACGAAGATCCTAAGCTTATTTCCTGGCGTTAAGTGCTGCCATTACACCCCCACCCTCCGGATACCCCACGCGATGAAGTCTGACAAAGGAATCGCAGTTTCTGGACCGTTGAATCTTTATGGAACCAATTATTAAGCTGAGTAAACTTTTGACAAGCCCTAGCAACTGAATGGTATAAGTCAAGCATAATGTGAAAACAATAAAGTTAAAAACTATTCAAAAAATCGTGTGATTGGGTTTGAACTTTTATTAGTAAAAATAAAATATCTATATTAAAATACTTTCCAATGAATACTATCTCGTTTATTTAAGAGAGACGATGAAAAGAAGAAATATGGGCGTTTTGAGTCTTCACTTTTAGAACACTTAACTCATCTGTTACGTGTCGTTAAAATCGTAATAATTAAAGGTCAAATCCTCAAACATGCTACGTAAAATAAAAGAGTGTGTCACTTCCCTCTCAAAGTGTCCACTAATTGTTTTATCGTGTGGAGGTTACTACAATACGCGGTAATTATAAACGACTCTTCTGTCTTGTACATAAAAAAAAATCAAAGGTAAATCAGGTTTGATAATAACAATGTTTTATGAAAAAAAAAAAATTAAATTGTACATCAAATATACATATATAGACATACTCAACTCGACAACTTCTAACGAGAGTAGATTTTTTGGTAAGTCTGTGTAAATATGGTTTAGAAAATAATTTTGGAATTTTCCTTCGACCTTGTATTGATATATTATGTTCAATTTATTTGACCTTGTTTTATTAAAAATCATAGATTTCTGATATTCTGTTATCTATTCAATTAAATTATCGTTAAATAAATATTGATTTTTCAGAATAATATTTGTTAACAATTTCAATTCCACCAAAAGGTGGACTTGTTCCTGTCGACATTGAAATATTAAATTTTGTGTTGACATCACTATGATATAATATACCGGAATCGCTAGGAGGTGTAACGCTGATACTGAGGTGTGCGCTGGCGTTGAGACCTAGAATTTCCAGTAGAGTGGCACGCTAAGTATGTCAAGGGTTACTAATCATACGCTATTTTTACCAAGAACCTGAAACTGAGCAATGCGAAATTGCATCTTCCGAATAACGAATAACTTTAAAAAAAGTTCTAGTCACAAGATCAAATCATCGTTTACACTTTGCCAGTTTTACATTTAATCCGCAATTTAAATATTACAATACCCTAATTAGTAGTTACAGCTAAGAAAATCTAAGGAAAGTAGAATCTATTTAAATTAATGCCCTGAAAATCAAACTTAAATATGTACATTGATCTGTAATTCCATACCAACTCTATAGTGTCCTTACATGTATTACATATGTAAATCAAGGTTATAATGATTGTCACTATTTTAGAATCCATTGTCTTTGTAGGTTGGTAATGTTATTTTCTATATTTTAATATCATTTAAAGCTTAGTTTTGTTAAAAGCTTAAAGGAAAAATTTATGATCTGAACTTTCGGACAATGTAATTATGGCTTGTAAAATAATGCATTTATAACAAAAGAAACAAAGTAAATCTAATTATAACTGTAATTCCGTTGCCTCTCAAGTATGTTATTATTTTCAGAAATATCATATTGTTATAATTACAATCTTTAAAAAGAAAAAAATCTTTTAGGAATTGTGTTATTCAAGTGTATAATCATTGTGATTGATTCGATGTTGAAGAAACTTTAGAGACACTATTAATAAAATTCTATAGATATCGCGGTAATACTGATTGCGGAAACAATAAGCTGTATCATGCAGCTGTAGTTAAAGGTCTGGCTAACTAGAGCGGACTGAAGTCAGAATCCGGTTATATTAACCTTGGTATCCCCGAGTGGACACTTCACCATTCCAATCGTCCAGTTAATTAAAGCCGAGTGCTTGACCTGGCACCCCTAACGATTCTAGCCAAATCAAATTCCAATTGGACACGTAAATTCGGAAACAAAAATTTTTGGATAGATGCAAATATTTGTTATTACTTTTTTCATTAAAACCTTTTAACGATATTTTATTATTTTGTCTGATTGTTTTATATATAAGTTATTAGATCAATCAAGTAGCTGTTTATTTTTGATAATTGCTCTTAATTTTCTTTAATGCCATGGACATAATATTACGCACGACTGCAGATCTAGCTACCATCTTAGAAGTTTTTATGTTAATTTGACCGCACGAACAACCTTGTTTGGTCAAGGCCATTCAACAGCCTCGAATTCATTATTGACAGCGGCTTGCGTTCTGTTTTTCTTGGTATATATTATAACTTTATTCGTGTTATATGTAACCGATCGTAATTTTTTTAATTTTAATTATATTTACATACTGATTGCAGTAGCGACGGTGAGCGTCGCAGCGCCACGGCTATCGACCTTCGATGGTCAAGGAAATACAATCGTTCTACGATATATTTTCAAATACACGTTCATCGTAACCTACGGGCCTGATTTTCGCACAGCATATTAAAATATTTTTACTTTTTCAACAAAAACAATCATCGCATGGCTTAAAGTTACTTTATCAATGCTAAACAGTAAATCTTCAAAATGGTTGACACAATACGCTATTTAGACTGTTAAATTAAATGTCAATAATAGACATATGTGTATTATTGACAATAGAATTTATATATATATATAGACCGGATTTTAAAATAGGCCCAACAGGACACAAAAGAAAATTTTAAACAATTTGCTAATTTCGCAACAAAATTTCGCATAAGCTTAGACACGTCTAATAGTTTTTCTCGTTTACTATATTGAATGTTCGTATGATAAAATTTTTGAATACTATTTAAAAAAGAAATATTCATAAATAATTTTATGCAGCCGTTTTGAGAAAAATAAATGTTGGTGTCCTCCTTTTGAACGATAAATGTACAAAATTTACCCATAGTGATTTAAGAAAATAACAAAAACAAAAGCATTTTTACTGTGATATTGTAATGCATCCATTATATAATTTGTTGCGTGGGAATGCGACGACTTCTCATAATTTTATTAGATCGACCGTTAATGCAAGTCAAAATGAAGTGACACAAATTCGGTCTTTTAATTGTAAGACGCGTTTTAAGTGAAAATCTTATTCTTATTACCAGACTGGAACACTGTTCGCGCGCTTTCACGAGATTTCTTAAACATTCTCCCTTCAAGTTGCGGATGTTTTTGTTCGAAACAATGTATGACTTGTATGAATCAAATTACGATCGGACGTTAGGATAGGCCTGTTATAATATTTGCTTTGTTTTGATGTTTTGAATAATAATGCTTATTGTACGTTATTGTTACGTATTAATACGAGGGCGTTTAGTAATGATACCTGGAACATTTTAAATAGAAGTTATAGGTTTTTGTTGTTCCGAACATTGATCGATAAAGTTATTGCTTAATAGTTTTTGTATTTTTTAAGTGGAAAACTAACTTTAACTTCTTTAGTTATTTAGTCACTTTTAATCCATTTTGGTTTGCCACTGATTATTTCTTGAGAGACTATTATTGTCTTATTATTATACTAAGACACGCAAGTTACAACATAAAAACTTTTTATGTTTATAAAGGCTATTCAATGTTCTATTCACATGATGTAATGAAAAATTAAAACGCGTACAACGACATGAATTTTAAAGAATACACTCTGGTTGTTAAATAGCGTGGTAATGAAGTTGTTGAAAATAATAAGACAAAATATATAATGAACACATGAATGAGTTTATTTAGATTTCGGAGAAGCCAGAATTGTTGTTTAACAAATCAACAAATTTGTTAAACACAACAAAAAGCAGATTAAAGCGATTAGTATCTGTATTAGGACTACATTTTATTTATTAAGGGTTAAATATTTTTTTTAAAGTAAGAGAATGGGAAAATATATTTTAAACTGTAGAAAGTTAAGAAAAAAACTAATAAATAACTTTCGTAACGTGTACGTTTAAACTTTTGAAAAGTTTTAAAATTACTTTTGGGGCCAAGAACTAACTAAGCTTTTTAAAATGGGTGAAGAGTCCTCACCTCAATGCTGTAGGACTTCTTGATGGCGAACATTTCGCGATTTTTCTGAGCTGCTGCGACGGCCATTTCTCAAATCACACCACTGGGTAAAGTAGAGCCTGAACTGAAGTTCACTGCGCGTTTAGCTTAGCTTACGTCTGCGAGAGCCTTTTGTCTCGACCACGGGCTGCAGCCTGTCTGTCTACGACTTGAGCTGTCGTATTACGATGGCTAACTAAACTTCGTATTGCAAACAGACCAATGCATGATGACCGTTCGCAAGAACAGTTTAAATAGTGTTAGTCGCGCCTCCCACCCCGCGGCTCTTGTGGCGCATGCGTCATGCCGCCTGCCACCTCCAGCCGTAGCACCACCGCCCTTCGCACCCTGCCGCCATGCAACTTACATTTAAACTTTACTTTTTTTCTTCTGTAACATATTATTTAGAGCTGACACATGTAACGATATAAAATGCGTCTATTTTTTTATATTCATTATCATTATCAGACAATAATAAAAGGCCAATTTAATATTTTTTGTTCCATTTGGTAAGCACCTCTTGAAATATTTGAATCCACATTCTGTTCTTTCATTGTAATAATAGTTTTTATAATTTTAATTTTAAGGGGAAAAGATTTAGAACTTTAATTTATTTCTGCTAATATATTGAATTTCGTCACATATGTGTTACAAGTTCAGATTGAAATGTTTATAAAATTTAATTCAGCCCATCGAGTAAAATATAAAAATATTTAATAATATTAAAATTAATAAGTAATCGTTATGAAATATTTATCAGCAAACTTCATAAACCGGCCTTACTTACTAGGAAGTATATTTAGTAAGTACATCGTAACTCGGAACAGGATATAATATCAAAGTGCGTGTTTAAATGATTTAATTACCAATATGATATTATAATAATATTATTCTATGTTTTAGTTATAGATTCTTAAAAGAATGATTAAAGAGGGGCGACAACACCTATGAAAGAAACATTTGAATACAAAATTTTAAAATCCCTAGTTCTATTTTTTTTTTAGTAATATGAATCGACATAGAGACAGTATATTTTTTAAATTTATTTTACTTACATAGATTCTTTGAAAACCGAGAGATCCCGATAAAATCAACTTTAACAGAAATTCTTTGCGATAGTATTGGGTATGCATACTTTTACTATTGTAAGAAATTATGAAGAATTAATGTATAAGGACAAAACAGGAAAAAATTTGCGGTCTGTGAATCATGTTGCAAATTTTTAGAATGGAAATTATATCATATTTAATGGTTAGTAAACAATGGTACAATTGTCTTAAAGTTTTAATGTATTTTATGTAATGAAATAAATGTTTAACGTATTCTCTCCCAGATGAAATCAAAAGTTTATTTACAAGGTATGTCTTATTATAATATGCTCGTGTTAAAGGTATTATAATCTCACAACCGCTTGCTTCTGGTAGTGTATAACGATGCAGGGCCAGCACTGGTTTATATCATCCGGTTCCTGAGAGGTGCACAATGATGTTAATTTTAAAATATTCTTCAGTTGAGTTATTGGTATCAACTTTTTTTAATAAAATCCTTGAACGGTCGGACATTTATTTTTAATACTTTTTCATTACAGTGTCCAAAAAATCCCGATGCCTCAAAAGTATCTTTTAAAATTATTGTAAGTCATTAACACTGCTACACGGCGGTAAACATAAACGAAACAATGTGCGAAAGTTTGATTTATTTCTGTCATTAACCTAACAGACCAGTTTTTTGCAAAACAATATATGTTATATCATATGTGTAAGTAGATATAAGTATAAGGTTTAATATAATTAAATTTTTTAGTATTAGAAAAATATTTGTTTCTACGAGAGTATATTTATTTATATTTTTATGTCACACAGTTTATTCTTGTTTGTACAGAGATGTCGGTTGACAACTCATGCTTTTACGTCATGAGCCGGGGGTTACCGTTGTTCGAAAAAATACTGGTTGGCTACGTCAACGAACGTTGTTTAGTGATAAAATCATTTTAAATTTTTAGAGTTTAAAATTACCTTTGTTTATATAAGTATATGTCCATGGGGTTTTATCCTTACTTTGTAAATCACATTATAAATTTTGACTTCGAATTTTCGGCAATTATATTTACAGTGGTATTTCCAGTAGGAAATTTCAAGTAGGAAATACCACTCATAAATACAACTATACTAAATCTAAAGAAAATTATAAATAGGTATATGAATACGACACCCATTCGTGAACATCATTGATGACAAATTATTACAATTAGGATAAAGTTGTTTAAAGTTTTATTTTCTTTTTATACAAATTATTATTAAAATTTTAACAACTTTACAGATAGTAATAAAAGCAAATCGTTTGTAGAAAAGACGACATAGCGGTAACTCCCTGAGTAGAGCGGGAAAAGATTATAAAATTTTACCTCAAAGACACACATCGATATGTACTTACGTAACATATGTACGTAATTCTAATACGGCAATCAGAATAATTATATATCTGGAAGGTTTTTTATTGTTACCTTAATGCACAACAAAAACCTATATAGAGGTCACACAGCGATATTGACTTTACCTGTATATATGGCCTCGTTAGAAGTTTTTATCTACCACCGATAAGGTAAATAAGTAAACAGATAATATAGAGTATTTATTCATATAAGTTGCAATTTAAATGAAACGCAATTGTTTAAGACTACTTAAATGTAGTACATAAAAAAGTAATAAACCAGCAGAAATTTTATTTAATATTTTTTTACATTAATTATGTAATAACGTAAGCTGCTATTTTTAACCCCGACGCAAAAAGTGGGGTGTTATAAGTCTGATATAGATTTGTGTGTTTTTGTCTATATCTGAATATAATATTATAGCTCTAAAATAAGACTATTCAGATGCGGTTTTTTTTATTAGTTTACTAGTAGTTCCTAGCTATGTTTAGTTAATATTGGTTCAAGGTAAAGGTTTTGTATAGTATGCAATTACTAATTAGATTTACATTTACGAGATATTTTTTTTTGCATTCAATTATAATTATTAGGACATGTTATGTAGAATTTGTGTGTGTTTAGCCCATAACGAATATTCAAATATCAGTTTGCTACTTTTATCAGTTACTTTTAGTATGAAATAAATTTAATTTAGTGTTGTATAATCAGTAACTATAAGTACATCTTGTTTTGTACGTAACAAACTACCCTACATTAATATAATGAAAGGGTTAATCTATATAAGGGTTAATCTAAAGGGTAAATCTATATGATGCACAATCCATTTGGACGATTTTTTTATAAATACGGTAGCCATAGGAATCAAATCAAATCACAATTTTCCGAGAATCACGATTATGTTCTAATGAACTCTCAGTCATATCAGAATTATTTATTGTAAGCCCCAGTTGTTAAACTAGTAGGTATTATATTTCCGTTAAAGCAAAACAGGTGGAATTTTTTTTTATGTTTTATATTCCACGTTTATGGACTATTAAGGCTTGTAACTATTGTTATACATTTTTTATAATTCTTGTAGTATTGTCACCTATAGTTTAGAGCATAAAGAACCATTGATAAATGTTGTCACGTTTAATATGCAAGAAAAATGATTTCCGTAAATGTCATAGTTACAAAAGGTTATAATTTATGAGCTTTATATTTTATAATTAAAATACAAACTGAGACAATAAACAAAAAACTGATAAGTTGCTTTACTACAACTACTTTCATTAAGTTTAAAAAATCCAATTAAAAGTGTTTAAAATAAAAACATGAGTTATATAAGCTCTTAAGGGTTTCTTATTATGTCTTACAAACAACAAAATATGTCTTACAAACAAACAAAATAAAACTGTTTAAAAAAAGTTTACTACGTTATGATATTAGTGACAGTTACTTAATTCGACTATACAAAAAAAATTAAGATACTAGATTTGCAATAAAAATTAATGGGCAAAATTTTTAAGCACTGACCTTATATATCAGTTATAAATCGTAACGCAAATATGTCGCCAAGGTCAATTAACTGCTGCGACTGATTAATTATATTCATACCACAAATGCAACACATAACTGGTATTATCATTCTTTGTTTATGCTCCATACTAATTACAGTCAACGTTGCATACTTGGCTGCCATGAAAACTTAACGCTTTAAGAGCCTGCGACAAGTAGTGGGAAGTTTTGTTTTGTTATGTTTATTTTAGATTCTGTTCTTATAAGTAATCCTAAGTATTGAGAAATATGTTCCTTCAAAGTTCCTGCTATAGCTCAGGCAGACTCATTTGTTTTTAACCACAGATAGTAAAAACTGTATAGGTGTTCAGTTTTACTAAGATTCCATTGTAGTGTTTTATAAGCTGGACTAAAAGGTCCATAAAATGTATACTATACACTGACTCTTACTTCATCTCTATGATAAAATAAGAACAAAAATCCTTGGCATTGCAAAATTGCGGTACTTATATAAAAATGAGAGTAAGTTGTTTCACATTCGCCGTGTTACACAAATATTAATAATTTTAAATGAGAACATAAACTTGGTTCTCATTTACTTTATTTTAATTTGTTTCTTATAATATAACTGTTATACTATTCTTTCTTGTTTATCCCCAGAGATGTGCAGATAAAATACAACTTTTTATTTCTTAAAATGTTTAGATGTTTTAAAATTTTAACATTTTAATGTCTTTGCGAGTATTTCATTGATGTTTATTAGTATGAATAACTATTAAGTAATATAATTTTGTTTGTTATGCATTGCAAAAATGTTTAATATTGGTTTATTTATAAATATAATATACAGTTAGGAAGTAATTTAATTACAGGTTGTCAATGAGTAGCAGAAAATTAAAACAAATAGAGAGAAGTTAATGAATAATAACATCCGCGTATCTAGGCGAATGGTATTTTTTTTGTTTCTTCCTACAAGTTGTTAAAAGAGATTAGAATTAATCGTTATAAAAAATTACAAAATATGTGTAGAAATTATTGAAATTGTAGTCAATTTATAAAATCTGAGAGTAATTCTGTATAAGAGAGTCCATTTTATACATAACCAGTTCTGCATGAGGTA